TATGTATATAGTTATATATATATATATATATATATATATATATATATATATACATATACATACACACACATATACACATATATGTATATATATGTATATATGTGATGTTAACACCTTTCAAGCAACTATGTATATGTTTCTTGAGACACACGCAACATTGAATTGATAATCTTTGACATGACCAACGAAGTGTTGTCGTCCAACATCCCACGAGCATGACAACACCCCCGCCCCCTTATTATATGATTTTTTTATATGCATTTGATTCTCATCCATTTAAGCTGATCGTGTATATATATATATATAGGTGTATATATATATATATATAGGTTGATGGTTTGTGTCTGATGGTAAAGTTTTACTAACACAGTCTTGTTTGTTTATATATATATGTGCATAGAATGATGAAATTAAAATATACAAAGTTACAATGACCTCACACATTATTTATAATAATACCTTATACTTACAACGACTAAATTAGCTTTTTACAGATTTACGACATATATCTACAGAGGTAATGCAAAGGCTATAAAAGATGCTTGCGTGTTGACACCGAGGGGATTCGATAAGGAAGCATCATCTCTATATATATATATATAAGTGTATGTGTGTTTATTTCGATCGTTACAAAGTGGCCACACTAGAATATATTCAAGATGGACCGACGATTGCATCTTCCATATTCCATTGGCCGTGGCGTTAATTTATTCAATTATGATATTTGTTTTCTCTCTTTTGGAGGGAAAGGCTTCGTGGGTATACAATACATGAACATAAACCCAAAAAAAAAAAAAAGAATCGATATCCTAGGCATGCAGTTTCGGCATATGGCATAAAGGGTTACTTCTCAATTCCTATGAATATTCCTCTCCTTCCACGTCAGCTCTCCTATCATAATCTTCGAATTATTAAAGGATTTTTTATATAAAAAAAAATCATAAACACCATCCATTTTCCATGCGTACAATTTTATATTCGATAAATAACCTTATAGTAAAAACTAATAAAACTTCAAATCCACGTAAATAAAACCGAGGCGGTCGATATCCCATTCTATTTATTTCAATTTTCAATTGGGTAAATAAATATGGATTTGGATTATCCAACCCTATTTAGTGTTTATCACACTCGAGATCCCATCATTCAACGTTATACAAAATTAATAAAAATAAAAAGAGGACCATAACGGTTATATTTTGCGTGTGGTTTAAATTTCCGTTAGGTGCGATTCGGTCTTGTCCAACGTTATCCAAAGAATGAGAAAATGCTGCTCTCTCCTTCGCCTTGTCCAACTCTTCCCTCTCATCCTCCCCATTTCCTTCCTTCTTCTTCAGACCCGCCTTACGAAATCCTCCGCTGCCACGCATCCCTCTTGCTTCTCCGCAAGTGCAAAACCCTTCAATCTCTTCGGCAAATCCATGCCCAGATGATCAAAACTGGTCTTCACAACACGAATTACGGTCTGAGCAAGCTTATCGAGTTCTGCGTTCTTTCTCGGTTCTCCGATGGTCTTCCTTATGCTGTTTCGATCTTCGAAACGATTCAGGAGCCGAATCTGCTGATTTGGAACACCATGATTCGTGGGCATTCGTTGAGTTCGTCTTCGATTTCGGCTCTGCAGTGGTATGTTCGCATGATCTCGCTGGGCTTGGTTCCTAATTCCTACACTTTTCCTTTTGTTTTGAAATCCTGTGCGAAATCGGGGGCTATAAGGGAAGGAAAACAGGTCCATGGACATGTTCTGAAACATGGACTTGATTTAGATTTGTATGTTCACACTTCTTTGATATCCATGTATGCTCAGAATGGGGAATTGGAAGACGCACATATGGTGTTCGATAATAGTCCTCATAGAGATGCGGTTTCGTTCACGGCTATCATCACAGGGTACGCGTCCAAGGGTTGTATTGAGAATGCACGTAAGTTGTTCGATGAAATCCCTGTTAGAGATGTGGTTTCATGGAATGCAATGATCTCAGGTTATGTCGAAACCAGCAGATATAATGAGGCCTTGGAGTTGTTTAAGGAGATGATTGAGGTGAGTGTTACACCGGATGAGAGTACGATGGTTAGTGTACTTTCTGCTTGTGCTAAATCTGGTGATATCAATTTATGCCGTTGGGTACATTCATGGATCTGTGATCATCATCATGGGTTCAGTTTAAACCTTCAGCTTGTTAATGCACTCATTGATATGTACTCGAAATGCGGTGATATTCAGACAGCCCGTGATCTGTTCGAGGGTTTGTCTCAAAGAGATGTGATTTCATGGAACATCATGATTGGTGGGTACACCCGAATGAATGTCTACAAAGAATCTCTGTTGTTGTTTCAAGAAATGTTGAGATCAGGTGAAAGCCCGAATGATGTGACGATGCTGAGTATCCTTCCGGCTTGTGCCCACCTCGGAGCCACGGATATCGGGAAATGGGTTCATGTTTATATAGACAAGAAGCTGAAGAATATTAAAAACCCCTCTCTCCGGACAAGCCTCATCGACATGTATGCCAAATGTGGAAATATCGAAGCTGCAAAGCAAGTATTCGGGAGCACCGGGAATAGAAGCTTGGCATCTTGGAATGCCATGATATCTGGGTTTGCAATGCACGGACGGGCTGATGCAGCATTTGATCTTTTCTCGAGAATGAAGGAGAACGGGATTGAACCGGATGACATCACGTTTGTGGGCCTGTTGTCAGCTTGTAGCCATGCCGGTTTGCTAGAGCTAGGCCACCGGATTTTCAAATCAATGACTCAAGAGTACAGAATATCTCCCAAGTTGGAGCACTATGGATGCGTTATAGACCTTTTAGGACGATCGGGGAAGTTCAAAGAAGCAGAAGAAGTTATCGAGGGTATGGGAATGGAACCCGATGGAGCGATATGGGGCTCCCTCCTCAAAGCTTGCAGGATTCACGGGAACATTGAAATGGGCGAATCCATCGCAGAAAATCTCTTCAAGGTTGAACCCGAAAACCCTGGAGCTTACATCCTTCTTTCAAACATATACGCAAGTGCTGGGAGATGGAACGATGTAGCCAGAATACGGTCACAGCTTAACGATAAGGGTATGAAGAAAATTCCCGGTTGCAGCTCTATAGAAATAGAATCCGTGGTTCACGAATTTCTCATAGGGGATCAACTCCATCCGAGGCACGAAGAAATCTACAAAATGCTAGACGAAATCGACACGTTACTGGAGAAATCAGGGTTTGTTCCAGATAAAACCGAAGTGTTGCAAGAGATGGACGAAGAATGGAAAGAAGGGGCGTTGCGGCATCACAGCGAGAAGCTCGCGATTGCGTTCGGGCTGATCAGCACGAAACCGGGGACGAAACTGACGATAGTGAAGAATCTAAGGGTATGCAGAAACTGCCACGAGGCTACTAAACTCATATCGAAGATATTCGGCCGGGAGATTATTGCCAGAGATCGGAATCGGTTCCACCATTTCAGAGATGGTGTTTGTTCGTGCAATGACTACTGGTGAAAGAAGAGGCAGAACGCTGAGGACTGACCGGAGATTTGGTCTCCAATGGTTTTAGTAATTTGTTGTTCTTCGGCCAAACTTACATGTTGATGCTCCTGCCACTGCAATTTAACATAAAGTAATTAATGATTGTAAAAAAATATGATTAAACCAGTCCTGGTTTTGTTAAATCGAACCAAAAAAAGCCGGTTAGGTTCGATATATATTTTTAAATAAAGTAGCACACATTTGACAAAGCGGAAAAAAATCATGAATATATATATATATATATATGTTTATTTTTTAATTTGTATTTTTATTAAATTTTTTCCTAACGTAAACGATAAGGTCCGAAAATAGGTGACGATTATCCTCTTAAAAAGAGTAGATATATATTATTCGGTATATTCGATGTTTTTATTTATCAAATTAAAATTTTATCTATTTTTTTTTTGTACTTTCCTGAACGAATTAATGGGTTTTTTAAAAATATTTTTCCTTTTAAAAAATATAAATGTATATCTCGTAGACTTGCTTTTGTTTCTGTTTGGTAATCCGTTTGTAATGGCTAGGGACAAGGTGAGAGGGCTTTAAAAGGGACCAAAACAGAAGCACGCAGGTAAACTGTTCGACGAAATTCCCGACAGAAACTAAACACTATAAGGACTAAGGAGATGATACCGAAGCCGATTCGAACTTTGGGAATCGGTGTAGCTTTCGTTCTCGGTGGATTAGCCATCGGTAACATTGTTTCCGCTTCTGCAATCGGAGCTTTCCGTTTCGCCATTGAAGAGAAACGGGTAATGGGCAATGCTCTGTATACATGCATGTTCGCGTTGTTGGTGTTTCTTAAGTATTAGGGGATGATAATTCGGAAACTCGATTGTTTATTTTATTTTGGATCATGGAAATGAATGTCGAGGAGGATTTGGAAATCTTCTATTAGGGTTTAGTAAAGTGAATCTTTGTTAATTCTATTGAATGCAAGTTGTCTGTTCCTTTGATTGTTTGGTCTTAAAATCCTCGTTGAAGAGGACCGAGTAATGGGCAATGCTATACATACATGTTTGCATATGTGTATCCGTGTTTGTGCTTACAATTATTAGGGGACGACCATATTCTAATACTCGGGCCCTTTATTTCCTGTTGATCATGGAAATGAAGGTAAGGGTGAAATCTTCTTTTGGGTTTTAAAAAATGTAGATTTTAGTTACTTTCACAAATGCAAATGGGGCGTGTTATTGGTTAATTGATTTTAGTAAAGCAAAAGCTATTTGAAACTTTAGGAATTAGTCAAGAACCGGATATAGAGTTATGTTTCTCTGTCTTTGAATACCAGATTAATCGTTCTCTTGGTGTTATGAGCATTTCTCGTTGGACCTATCTTCATGTTTGATCATCATAGGCTTTGCCCTTTATTGTACTTCCGCATATCTCTCTTGCAAATATGTTTTTCTATATATATATATATATATGATCGACCGTAAATGTAAGAAAGAACATTGTTTTGGTTATTGTTCTTGTTGTGTATGAAATGGGCTTGATATGTGACTTTAGAAGATGCTTTCCTTATTTAATATTTCCTCATTTGGTGTTTTTTTTTGTTTGTAGAAGAAGAAGGCATTGGCTTGTCGAGCTTGTGCTGGAAAAGGGTTCTATATTTGCAAATTGTGTAAAGGAAATACAACGATAAAGTGGTCGCCGTTGTATGATCCGGTTTGTATCAATCCATGCCTTTGCCCCACTTGTGATGGTCACAGGTTTGTTGATCACCCTTCTTCTTCCTTCGTTTCGTTTCATCTATTTTTCTGCATAGAGAAAAGCTTCATAGTATTTCATGAAACCCAAAATTCGGGTATTCGGCCGAAATGAGATCGACCACGGGTTAGTAGGAATGGGAATTCCGAACTGTGAGCTTGAGTTTGGGTTTTCCGGTGATTAAGCGAAAAGATATTAGTTTGATTAAAAACACCAAGATATGATATTACAGGCCAAAATAAATCATATTATTTAGATTTATTTTTTAATTTGACAGGTCAAAGAAATTAAAGCATGTGAAAATATAGATTAGATGAATTTGGATGGACCCATCATTTAGTATCTTAATAATTGCCCCCGCATGTAACATTTTTGTTTTTAAAAGAAAAAGCAAAAAAAAAAACATTTTCTGAATCTTTGGGGAAAGGGATTTTGGCCATCAGATTTCTCGTATATCCTCTCCGGGCTTTTCTCCGGCCTTTCTTCCGAATCGCCGACCAGGAAATGCGCCTCCGACCGGCGACGAACACGTAGCGAAACCCGAAATCTTTGTTTCTGGGTTCGGTCTTCCCTGCGATTCCGAGACGAAAGAAGAAAAGAGAGACAATGGTGGATGAGAAAAGCTCGGATTCAAGCTTCGGAAATGGAGAAGAGGATTTGGGTGATGTGGTATTGAACGTGTACGATCTCACTCCTATCAACAATTACACCTACTTATTCGGGTTGGGGATTTTTCATTCTGGCATCGAAGGTTAGGCCTTTCTCCTTGCCGCTGCTTTCCGTCAATTTTGTTGCGGAAATCCTCGATCTTGTTCGATTTCGGCATTTGGGTTTGATTTCCTAGGGGGGGAGGGAAGAGGGTGTGAGCACGAGGGGCGAGACAACGAGAGGGTGATCTTGAGACATTAGGACTAGAGGGTTTCGAAAGGGCGAGGAGGCGTTTTTGGTTCGCCCTCATCTCGTCTTACCACGCACTCCTCTGACCAGATACATCTCACCTCATCGGGCGCCTCACCCTCTCCCCTCGCTAGTGTGTGTTCTCCGGGTACCCGACCCTACCGACAGTGATCGGAATTATGCTACGTGATGACAACAGTCACATATTGATTATCGTAGTTGTCATTGTCATTGTCCTAAGCAGCGTTTTTGTTCCCCCAACTATCTCGCAGGATACAAAGGTGTTTGAACTGTATTGGGAAGGGATATTGTTGATACAACGTAAAATCTTCACCTTCATTGTGATTTGGTAGACATTTTAGGTCTCTCATGAAAATGGCTCCTTGGAAGCTTATGTTCATATGAACCAACGAGGAAGCAAGCTTGTTGGGTTTCTATCTTTTACTCTCAAATGTTTTCATTGGGACTCTTGTCTTGTCTGAAACTGTGATTTTCTTAGCCTTGTATTCATATATTTTTTTATTATATATATATTTGATGTGCTTTTGTAATTGAAACTGTTGATGCGGTTTTTCAGTGTTTGGGTTTTGAGAGACATGTTCCAAATTTAAACTGGATTTTTTTAAAAAAAATTATGAGTCGATTATACAAAAAACGAACTAATCCGAATATGATATAAACATTGAATCGATACGATATTTTAAAATGAATTCGAATTGAATATGAAAATAACAGAAAACAAACAAACAGCTTACAAATAAAAAATCGAATTTAAACTAGCAAAAATGACTGATAAACGATTATAGTTATTTCGCGAACTCGGATAGCTCGGTGTTCTGTTTTATTATGGAACCGGTATCAAGGCCCAAATTTATCCCCAGGCCCAATGGGCCATGGCAAAGTAATTCCAGTACAATGAGCCACTAGAACGATTAGGCCCAAAACGATATCAGTCAAGGGGCCATGGCCCATGACAGTGTGGAGCCCAGTGGATAACTTGAAGATGAACCGACGAGTATAGAATTTGAAAATAAAGATTACACCCCTAACAGAATATTTAGAATATTATCAGATATTATTGAATATTGCCATGTATTATAAAATACTAATATTTTTTTTTTATGTTTTGTCTAATGAATTAATAAAATATATATCATCTCATCACATATTATATAACATTATTTTTTAGTTTATTATATGTCCTTAGTTTTTAGGTTTATCCAAATAAACAATTCCTTTTTTTTTTTTGCTAAATTTAATTAATTATCTATCGTTGTGGGTTATTGTTTTCTTTCAAATGTATTAAAGATCTTTAATTGAAAGCAAAATAAACCAAACCCGAACCCGGATTATTTTTCTCGTTTATTTTCAATATATTTTTCTCATCCAATAATTCATTATAGAAATAACAAAACCGAAAGAAACCTCCTATTCGACTGTTCGATACAAATATAACTGATCGAATGTAAAATATATCGTTTTATTTTTAATTCAATATAAACTAAGATGTAGAAATTTCAAAGATTTTGTTACTCATTTTTATTATATAGAGTGTAAATATATAATATTTAGATAAATTCTTTATATTTATGGTTTTTCGAAATCAGAACCGAATCCCACCGGTTTATTCATTCACTGTTCAAAATTTTAAAAAATGAATAAAAGACGAAGAAAAAAACAAAGACAAATTCATGCATGAATATATAGCTTCTTTCTTCCATATAAATATATTAATTGTTTAAAACTTCTACATAATATGAATGCATAAATTTCAAAAATATTATTAGATTTTCATTTAAATGAAAACGATATTGAAATGTATTAAAAATTCTGCATGACTTTTAGAATAATATTTGTAACTTTTTCTTTCATGTTAATATATAAAATTTTAGATATTTTGATAGAAATATATCCACTTTTTATAAATTTATATAAATATGTAGGTTTTAAAATGTTATCATCTTTCACCGAACCAATAATATTAAATTACCATTAAAATAATTATATTTTAAAAAATAAAGAAATTAAATAATTATTTGCAATCTTTAAAAAATAACGAAATTATTTGAATGTCTTTATTTACATCATTATTTACATTAAAGAAAGAAAATCGAGGGGGGGGGGAAAACTCTTTGTTCCGAAGATTTTGAATATAAAAGCCTACCGTATTTTACCTAATTTTAAATGGGATTTTCCATTTCTTTATAGTTTTAAAAAAAATGGAATTAGCCAAAGCAAGTTGGCCACATCGTTTCACGCCTTTATATAAATACCACTCTCTCCCTTCCTATCCTGCGTCTTTGTCTGCGAGGAGCTTTGTCTCATCTTCTTCGCCTCTCCTCTTCGTCGGAGGCCCGAAACTAGGGTTTCCTTCAGGACCCTCTCTACAATCTCTGAAGTCCCAACTCACGTGTTCCTGTACCCTTCTTGAACTTCTCCGGTAATCGTAATTTCTTAGTTTCTGTTCCGTTTCTTTGCGGGTTGTTGAGGGGTTTTGCTGGATCTATTGTCGGTGGATTTCGACGCTAGGTTGCTCGGTTTGTGGTCTCGATTAGGGTTTCTCCCTCACGGGTTTTTACTGTCCTGGTACGACATGCTCTGTTCATGACTTTTCGATCGCTTTAGCAGTGTTCTTGTTTTGTGATGCTGTTCTTGATCAGAATAGGAATTTGGGAACTTAGGTTTGCCATTTTACAGAATTTGCGAAGAGAGCGATATATTCTATTCTATTCATGACTGTAGTCTGATGGAAGCTGTGACTTTCCCAGCTTTTTGTTATGCAGCTCTATTGGCAATCTGGGTCAACTTTAGAATTCTGGATCCTATTTTGAATCTTCTTTGATTTTGGAGGGTTGCTAGTTTTACGGATTTCGTTTTGAAATTGAATTGCTTATGAAGAATCTTGATCCTATTCACTTGCGTCCTTAGGGCTGAGGCAAGTGACTCACAATCTTCACCCGCTATTGAAGATGCCAAAAGAGAGGAGAGATCGGTCGGTATCTCGTGATAGGTATAGAGGGTCTCCATTGCGATGTGACTCTAGCCATACTCTGCAGGCCTCTTCGAAACTGAGCGAGGAGAACGTCAAGGAATGGGAAGATGCTCGGTGCCCTGTCTGCATGGAACATCCTCACAACGCTGTTCTTCTCATATGTTCTTCCTACGAAAAAAGGTTGTCGACCCTTCATGTGTGACACGAGCTACAGGCATTCTAACTGTTTGGACCAGTTCCGCAAATCTTTCAAAGAGACACCAATCTCATCAACACCCCAAGAAGGGGAAAGCAATCCGATAACTACGATACCAGATGTAGCTCCTGAATCAACTGCTGTGAATCCGAGGGAAGGTGGGAGTGAAGGAGGGGCTGTAATAACTGATAGAAGTTCTAGTGAGGACCTGGAGAATGCCAAGCCGAAGCTTACATGCCCGCTATGCCGTGGGGAGATAAAGGAGTGGGTTGTAGTCGAGGCTGCAAGATGTTTCATGAACTCAAAGAGAAGGAGCTGTTCTTGTGAGACGTGTGATTTCAGCGGCACCTATTCTGATCTGAGACGGCATGCTAGGTTTCAGCACCCGACGGCACGACCCTCAGAGGCTAATCCAGAGAGGCAGCGTAGATGGAGGAGATTAGAACGGCAGAGAGATTTGGGTGACCTGCTAAGCACTCTTCGATCTTCTTTCGGCGGAGGAGAAAGGGATGATGATGGCGATGGTGAAGGTGATGATGATGATGATGATGATGATGATGATGGAATTCTGTCATTTGATGACGGTGGGTGGCTCACGGTGTTTTTCCTCATCCGGGTGTTTAGACCCGGGTCGAGTAGTAGCCCACGACGGAGTAGTAGCTGGTCAGGCACATCAAGAGCTCGGTCGCAGTTAGGCACAAGAAGACGCTCTACCCGGCTTTGGGGAGAAAGCTACGAGGGAGAGAATGGACCATCGGCTAGAGACAACGGGAACAACCCGCCTTCTGATGACGAGTCTGGTTCTAGGACACGACGTGTAAGAAGAAGAACATTCATCGACGAGGATGAACCCTGATGGAGCCCCAAAGCTCACGATATAGATCATCGATCTTCGTTATCTTCTTGGTCGGGGATCTCCATTTATGAAACGATATAGTGTAAAAGTTCACTTCTAAGTGAATCTCTGTATTTCCTAAACTCATGTTTAGTTTCGCAGAAGCATCTCTGTTTTTTATTTTTACATATTATTTTCCATTTTGATTCGTTTGTGCCCCAAATCCACATTTTATCAGTTTTTTTAAGCGAGTTAAAAAATAATTAATTTTAATGTTAATCAAAATAGTTAATTTTAATTGGATTCATTTAGTTTATGAACCAAGGGAATTGGTTCGTGATAAAAAAAATTATACTTGCTTGTGTGCGTGAATGTGTATATGCATATGCATATACATATGTGTGTATATGTTATAAATATGTAACATACCGTGAATATACATGGATACCATCCAAATTTATCGCGTAAAATATACAAAATACCTTTTTTTTACTAAAACTATTTCTACACCTTTTGATATAATCATGTGAACAGAATAATTATATAATCATATGGTGATCATATTGATCACAATGTTAACTTTGTGATGATTTAACCAAGTGATTAGTGTGATAAAACAATTGTGACAATAAGAATTTAGTGTAATCACCATAAATTTAACGTTATAACCGATGTCATTTTATATAGTTATTTTGATTACGATGATATTTGGAGAATGGTATGTTTAGAGGTAATTTTAGCGAAAAGATATTAGTTTGATTAAAAACACCAAGATATGATATTACAGGCCAAAATAAATCATATTATTTAGATTTATTTTTTAATTTGACAGGTCAAAGAAATTAAAGCATGTGAAAATATAGATTAGATGAATTTGGATGGACCCATCATTTAGTATCTTAATAATTGCCCCCGCATGTAACATTTTTGTTTTTAAAAGAAAAAGCAAAAAAAAAAACATTTTCTGAATCTTTGGGGAAAGGGATTTTGGCCATCAGATTTCTCGTATATCCTCTCCGGGCTTTTCTCCGGCCTTTCTTCCGAATCGCCGACCAGGAAATGCGCCTCCGACCGGCGACGAACACGTAGCGAAACCCGAAATCTTTGTTTCTGGGTTCGGTCTTCCCTGCGATTCCGAGACGAAAGAAGAAAAGAGAGACAATGGTGGATGAGAAAAGCTCGGATTCAAGCTTCGGAAATGGAGAAGAGGATTTGGGTGATGTGGTATTGAACGTGTACGATCTCACTCCTATCAACAATTACACCTACTTATTCGGGTTGGGGATTTTTCATTCTGGCATCGAAGGTTAGGCCTTTCTCCTTGCCGCTGCTTTCCGTCAATTTTGTTGCGGAAATCCTCGATCTTGTTCGATTTCGGCATTTGGGTTTGATTTCCTAGGGTTTGTCCTCACCTGGGTTTGCTGCGTGTTGTGGTTGTTTGATACGGGGAATCTGGAAAGTTTCTAGATCTCCTAATTTCTCTGTTCGTATGCATCTCTCTTGTTGTAGAGAATGATGTTACGAAGCTGCTCTTGGTGATCTACGGAATCATAGCATTTCATTTTTTTTCTTCCTCCTTCAAGCATTGTGAAATTTTCTCGCTTAGATCATCAGGAGAAGGAACTGGATTGTTGATCTTCAGATATTACAACCAACGGGCTTTGGTTTAGTTTGGTGATACCTTGAAACTTGTCGATTCTATATGAAGGAACTCGGTTTCTGATTTGAATCTTGAGAAACTTAAGAGATTTATATCAGCTTTTGCATATATCTATGCGATGGCTGAATTCCGGGTTCCTGCTAAATCCTTCATGTATCAAAGTGTTTTTAAGCTCCTGTTCTTCGTATTGATAAGTCATTTGTCCGAGGATTTAGTTTACAAATCAATCTTGTTGTTCTTGGTTTGTTCCAGTAATCTCCAAATCTTCAGGTTTGAAATGCTATTCCTAAAACTGAGGATAGGCGAAGGGATTATCGATTCTAAAGTCGGATACTTCAAAGTATTTTTTGGTGTATCTTTTGTCATATTTTTCTTTTGTTGTTTTTGATTTCTCAAAGAGTGCTACAAGTAAATCCCTGAAACAGAAAATTACTACCGGTGGTACATGTTTGATCATATTCGATTCGTTTGTTCTTCCTTCATGGTTCATATTTTTTGGGAGGCGGCAACAAATGCTAACTTGTATCCCACTGGTTATCACAGTTCATGGGAAAGAATACGGCTTTGGAGCACACGAATTCCCTGTCAGTGGAGTGTTTGAAGTAGATCCGAGAAGCTGCCCCGGTTTCATCTACCGATGTTCCGTCTCGCTTGGACGGACAAAGATGTCTCCTTCAGAATTCCGGGTGTTCATTGAAACTACGGCGTCCGAATATCATGGAGATACTTATCACCTCATAACCAAAAACTGCAACCATTTCACAGATGATATCGCCTGGAGATTGACGGGCAAGCACGTCCCGGGTTGGGTCAACCGTCTTGCTCGGCTAGGTAAGAGATCCTTATCCTCAACACGAAAAATCTGTTTTTTGTTATTAGATTAGCGACGTAAGATGAGATTTTCCTAAGGGGTAATTTTCCGTCGTTTTGTATTCTCAGGTGCATTATGCAGCTGCCTTCTCCCGGAAAGCCTTCAAGTAACTACGGTGAAACAACTTCCGGAGTACCATGAGGTCGCAGGTAAAATCGTTGTTTCCATATCCGGTAACTCCAGGCTGCATTTCACTTCATCAAAAACTCTAATCTCTTTATCGTTTCTGTTGTCGGGAAATCTGTTGCAGAAGAAGGAAGTGAATCTCATTCAACTGCCACACCTCAAGACTTCGAGGAAATCTCCGACGGAGATCAGGAGAAGCAGCTCCTCTCACCGGTGGACGTGGCAGGGGAAGTATCATTCATCAGGGAAACCTATAAATGAGAAAACCCGAAATCACATATCCTTTTCTCGGGCGCCCGATTCGTAGTGATCTATCTTATTTCTGTCGTTGTGGATTTTTGGACATAGCATGAAGGTTTGATGCTATTGAAGCTTGGTCGGAAGAATCTGCGGGTCTCAAGGTCAGACGGAAAGCAAAATTGTATCGTGAAGAAGCGTTCAGAGAGATTGTGTATTCTTTAGTGTTCAAAGGGAAATGGATATATTATTATTACATGGTTTGTTGTATTTTTGTTATTACATGGTTTGTTGTACTGTTCCATTTTAGATTTTTCTTCAAAGTTCCTGTGTACCTTTGGCTTTTGGGGAAAAAAAAAACAGAACCCACCAAGAGAAAGAGAAGGTTACAAAGAGTTCATGCAAAAACCTCACCACCTCCCATCCCAAACCCTAAAAGAATACATACCCCAAAATAGTCTAAAATGCCAAGAATGGGAAATAAATAGAAGGAGATTACTAACAAGATAATGAACCAGAGATTTTTTAAAAGTGTTCTTAGATCCTTGATACCTTTGGCACATCAACAGGGAACTCATGAATCTCATTCATCCATGGAGATTTCTCGGTTTTCGGGTTCACTGTCGTTAGAGCCCTCCAGACCGCGCTATTGCACTTGAACCCTGACCCGAAAGCTATCTGCCATGTCCGGTCACCTTTCTTGATCCTTCCTTTCGCCTCGGAATAAGCCAACTCATACCACAAAGAACTGCTTGATGTGTTTCCAAACCGGTACAGTGTCATTCTCGATGGCTCCATGTGCCAATCCGAGAGTTGCAGGTTCTTCTCTATTTCATCAAGAACGGCTCTTCCTCCCGCGTGGATACAGAAATGTTCAAACGCTAGTTTGAAATCCGGGATGTACGGCTTGATCTTCATCTTGAAGAGTTTTCGACCGACTAATGTTGCGAAGAACAGAAGCTGCTCGGATGTAGGCAAAACCAGAGGTCCTAGGGTGGTGATATTCGTCTTCAGGGCATCACCCGCAACTGCCATTAGTTCTTTAGAGAGGGTTACACCGATTTTACCCGTCGAATCCTCTTCTTGTGTAATACAGCCGAAGCATTTATCATCGGCTCCCTTGTGGGTCCTAACTGTATGAACCAGCTGATACTTCGATCTTCTTCTCTCGGATCTTTTGTTCGAGAGGAGAATCGCAGCACCTCCCATTCTGAAAAGACAGTTTGAGACAAGCTTCGACCGATCATTCCCGAAATACCAATTGAGTGTAATATTCTCCATGCTGATTACCAGAGCATAAGTGTTGGGGATGGTGTGGAGAAGATGTTTGGCCAGATCGACCGAAATCAGACCAGCACTGCAACCCATTCCTCCTAAGTTATAGCTGAGTATATTGCCACGGAGCTTGTAATGATTAACCACCATTGCGGATAACGAAGGGGTCGGGTTAAAGAGACTGCAGTTAACAATCAAGATCCCGATGTCCTTAGGATTAACATTAGTCTTGGCCAAAAGCTCGTCAATAGCGCCAAACATCACGATCTCCGCCTCCTTTCTAGCTTCTTCCATGCACGGGTTTGGAGGGACATTAAGGACAGCCTCGGGCAAGTAAGTTTGTTCCCCGAGACCCGAACGTTCTAGAATCTTGCGTTGGAACTCAAGATTCTCCTCTGTGAAAGAGCCAGTCAGTTTAGACCGGTCCATAAAGATCCTTTTGGTGCATTTTCGGGGATCCTCGGGTTTGTAGCAGGAGAAGTTGACCAAGTACACAGGTCGTGGCCGAGTCATGAAGTAAAGGGTTAGCAGAAAAACAAGGAGGGTAGAACAGATTATGACTGAAATAAGATTGTACTGAAGATGCTCCCACAGGTTGCGAAGATCTTGGAGAGAGAATGTTGAGATTTGAGCAGCGATTACAACTACGAGAGGGGAGAGGAAGAGGTACATTCCATGCGTGATGAGGTAGTGATAACCGAGCTTCACATACTTGAGCTTCACAGATTTCTTAAAGTCTGGAAGCTTACGGTCCGAAGGTGGGATTAAGGGCTTCTGTTCTACATTCCCCTCAGCCATCGTCTTTCCTGTTTAAGGATATAGAAATCAACCAAAAATCAGATAAATGAAACACATCGTAAGCAAGCAGCTAAATCAAAACAACAAGGCAGAGTAACATGTCCAAGTGCAAAACTCTTGTGAATTACGTTTAGGGCATAAAATCTTGATCTTGTTAGCAACCCGTCTCGAGAAATCATAAATCCAATCTTCTAAACACAGATGAAACCAAAAAACCGAAGACAAGACCTTCCATACTTGACAGCCATAAAGCAAACGAAGCCGTGGATTCATCCACAAGTTTTAGCAGCTCTCATTCATCTAAATCTTGAGTTTGAACTTCAACTGGAACCAACAGACAAACAACAGAACACAAATCCAACTTTCTTTTTCTCAGAATCAATGAGCCCTAACACACCAATTAATCAACTTTCTTACGTCCCCGAAGTTCAGAACCCGAATTGGAGAGGTACACCAGCCGTTGTAGCCAATGCCATACCTGAACTTGCAGAATCATCTCTTATTAAAGGGTCGTGAAATTTTCCAAATTTTCATCCATTTTCCCACGAAAGGTAAACCACGATGTTATTGGAAAGAGTACAAAGTGGAATACAGACTTGGAACAAAAAAAAGAAAGAAAATCACTGGCAGCATCTATCTACAGATTCGACCCAGATCAGAAAACTTATACTTTCATCGTCAATCCGTCCAGAATTAAAGGATTTCAAGGTTGGAGAATGCAGATGGAGAAACCCAGATCAAATTTCATCTAAAATCCCCCAGAAACATGATGCATTATCGATTCCAAAGAGAACAAAATCCACGAATTCAACACAAAACATGGATCAAACTTGTCGTAAAACACAGGAACACTTTCAAAAAAAAAAAAGAACTAGAGATCAAAACAATGGGTGATTAGTTGGAGAAAGGAAATTGAAACAATACGAGAATTACGAACGAACCTTGGAGAGTGTACCACTACAGAATGCTGTATCTCGAAATCTCTCCTCGGAAAGAAGCCGATTGTGAGAAGGCGGAAATTATAAAGACGGCTGTTTATTTATGATTCTCAAACTCAGATTAGATTCGGATTTGAATTTTAAGCCAATTTACCTTTTTTTTTAACTTCATTTACTCATTATATATATATATATATATAGAAGAAGATATGAAAATCAATAATACTAATTATATTTATTCAAACTATATATTTTTTTTAAAAAAAGTGCGTCGATAAATTGTTAACTAAGATATATAGCAATCAGAATTTAGGCTTCAAACCGGCCTATTGAGATATGAATGTTGTAAATAATTATATTTGTATAGATTACGTGGATTTGACAAATCATACTAAATGATATCTCTATAAAGCGATAAATATTCCAAAATGATTATTTTCAATAAGATTTTTCATTTTCATTGGTTATATCAATATATATATATATAAAAGGTATTAACAAAAGAAAAAAAAATATAAGATACGGTAAAATCTAAAATATATAAGATAGTTTTAAAATACTTATTTTAATATTTAGTCGAGCTTCTTTTCATAAATCTCTCATTTTATTATTAATTTATTGTCGTAGGACAAGAAAATTGCATATCTCATTGGCTGATTTCAATTTTGGGGATAATAATCTCTAAAATATAAATAAATTATATATTTTGAAGAGCTAAGATTTTGATTTTTGTTATCATAAAAATAATGTAATTACACATAATGTAGTTTGAATTAGGGATTTTGGGAGTCCAAGACAAGATGTGGAGACATGTCTTTTTTTTTATAAGGAAAATGGATCTCTCTCTCTCTTCTTCACCAGAGCTAAAATACAATTTAGCAAGTCACCCCACCCACCACATGCTCCACCTTTTTTGTTAGTTTCACATTGCCACCTTCAAAATTATTATTAAAATATTAAATGAAAAAATGTTAAAAAAAAAAGGGAAAGATAAATAAACAAATTTCAATTATTGTACCCGAAAAAAAGAAAGTATACAAATTTGCTTGTATTTTGTCAAGAAAAAAACCAATAATGAAAATTTTATACATGTGAACCGTTTGGAATTGGATGGGTGTGAGTTGGGTTAGGAGGCATTAGTTGTCCTAATGGGCACTCCCGATCTTTGTTTTTTTTATATTAAAAATTAAAGTATGGATTTAGTTTTATTGTTTTATATATTCATATGATTATAATGATAGTTATATTATATTTTATTTGAATATTTTTCTATTATACAAATTTTTTTAATATTGTAATCAATTTTTTGTTTGATTATAATTTCGTCGTAGGTAAAAATGAATCGAACTGAATAAAATAAAATAATCATTTAGTTATGAGTTTTCAAAATTTCGAAACAATTGAATGGAAGAGAAGAGTTTGTTCGCCCCTAATTGGAAGGTGTCCACTAAAATGACGAAAATACTTTTAAAAATAAATCAATCTATTTTTTTTAATGAATATCAACGGTGTTTAAAAAATTCGTTTAATATTTTCTAATTTTTAAAAATATTAATGGTAAATTTATAATGTTTTAATAAATATAAATTATATTTTTATGAAGAAACAAATACTCTCAATTTAATAACTTGGATTAGAACCCAAATTATACTGTATCGGATCCGAAAAATTGTACAAACCGATTGAGGGTATTTCCGTCATTACAAGAAAAAATGTGGTGGCCATTGGCCAATCAACTCCCTTGCTCGAATTATAAAATGGATCAGACATAACATGCAAATGGACAGCTCTTTCTCGTATTTTTTAAACACAAAAAAAAAAGAAAAAGAAAATTCAGCAATTGGGTCCGATTACAACCTGTCCACACACCCCAACACCAAAAAGGAGGAAAAATAAAAATTCAAATTCAAATTAAAATTAAAATATAAAAAGGAAAAAAGCCAAAAGATTTCAATTTTTTTAAGAATAAAAAATAAAAATCAATAACAAAAAGAACGTTTCGGAGATGCCAAACCCTGCACATGATCCCTCCTTTTTTTTTGCTTTTTTCTGCACTGCTCTCCGTTTCACCGGACCAAGACCCCACACCACGTCGTTTCCTAATCTTCTTTTCTCGGAGTAAACAAAAGAAAAGCCTGTCGTTTTTTTCCTCTTCTGACGCTAAAACCCATCTGAGACCAGAGAGTTCCCTACGGCGTGACGGAGCGAGGTGGAGTCCTTGATTCGCCCGGTGGCGTCTGACCCTCCGATCCCTTCGACGGGTCATCGGAAGATTGCCTTAACCCTTCGTCCGTGGTCTCGCTTCGGTTCACATCCTCAATCATTCTCAACACTTCCTGCATCGCAGGCCTTTGATCAGGAACTGTCGATACACACGCCATTGCTATCTGTAGAAGCTGAACCATCTCTTCCTCGATGTTGTGATACCGCATTAGCTCCACGTCGAAAACCTCGGCCGTCCATTCTTCCCTAACCACTGACTGAACCCATCTCGGTAGATCAATGCCTTCTTCCCCAAGTGAAGCCTGGTTAGGCGACTTACCCGTCAAGAGTTCGAGCAGTAACACGCCAAAGCTGTACACGTCTGATTTGAACGTCACTTTCCGATTCTCGAGAACCTCGGGAGCTCGGTAACCCGCCAAACGGTTAGGCGGGTTTGTGTTGCTGAACAACGGGTTAAGTCCAAAGTCAGTGACGCAGGCGTCGTGGTTAGGATGGAGGAGAACGTTGGAGGCTTTGATGTTTCCGTGGACCAGTTTCGCCGATACATGGAGGTGAGCTAAGCCTCTGGCCGTGGTTATGGCTATTCTCATACGGTTGTCCCAATCTAGCGGCGTCCGCCCGGATCCTCGGCTTCCTGAAACATCGGAAAATGCAGACCGACATTTCGGGCCAACGTTAGAACAATGCCGACACTAATGCTCTGATCAAATGGTACACACAAGAACAATGTGGACCGAGAGTTTGTCTCAGTTTCATATATGCTATCAGTGAGTATACCAAATGCAGTTTCAAGAATAAGCTCAAGAGATCAAAATGTTCATATTCTAAGTGGCCCTTTTCAAAACGGATAAGAACCCTAATTTGTACTTTGACTAAACCAATCAATAAACAGTTTACTTCAAGGAAAAGGGTAATCATATGATGAGAGAGAGAGCGTGAAGGAAGGACCCATGTGAGATGATGTCTTTTTTTTTTTGTGCAACACTTTCTTCAAGTGTGAGACAGAAGCAAAGTCATGAACTTTTATTACAACATTACCAGAATGCAGAGATGATGTCGGTGGCTCACATCTTTAAAATAATTGCATATAACCACTACAACTACAACTACGCCCCCCCACATCTTGAAAACATAAATAAACTTATCAATCAAATACAGACTTGGAATGGACGGCAAAGATCAAGAAGGGAAAAGGGAATGTTTTCTTGAGCCCAAAAATAGAAACAGAACATGTGGATGTTTGATCATATCATCTGTTTTTGCAGATTATTTATCATCCATTAGAATCATCAATTTACACATACAACTCACAGGTTGATGGAAGTCTGATTATTTCAAGTTTTAGTTTTTTCTTTTTATGATTGATTTTTCGCAGGAAACAAACAGCTGGAATAGTCAAGATCACAGGATAAACAAAAGAGGAAAACAAACCCAGAGCAGCAGTCACTCTCTTGAACCCAAATCTAGGGTTTTTGAATCTAGAAACTCGACCCGGAAGCTGGGCAGTAAATCAAGGGATGTGAAAACTTCGTTTGGACAAGAAAAACAAGAAATGAAATGGTTTGGTAACATCCCCCATGAAACCGGCAAATATAGAAAGAACATCGAAACAGGCAAGTTAACTAATAATACCCAGAAAAAAACAAAGATTCTGAACTCAAACAAGTGAAGTAAACTACTAGAAAACAGATAAAAACACACATTAATTCAGTAAGCAACCTCTACTAGAAACTATGCTATGTTATCAGAAAATTGCCAGAAGAAGAGAGAGAGATTCAAGAACTAACCGTGAAGAAGAGCCGACAAGCTTCCGGTGGGTAAGAAATCGAAGACAAGAAGCTTCTCATCCTTGGAGTAGTAATAAGCCCTCAACGGAAGCACATTGGGGTGACTGATTTTCCCGACAAGATCCATCTGAGCTTCGAACTCCTTCTTCGCCGCCGTCACATCTTTCAACCTCTTCACCACCACTGTCGTGCCCTCCTCGAGCACTGCCTTATACGACGTCCCAACGCTTCCTTTCCCCAAAACTTCTGCAGAAGCTCTCAGTAGATCCTCCAAATCGAAGCTGTAAATTCCTCCCGCCATGAACACGAGCTTGTTCCTCTCTGCTTCGCCGCCGAGTCCCGACGAAGTCCCCGCCGCTTCCTCCTTCGACGAAGATGTCCCTGGCGGAGGCTCCGCCGTCGCCGTCGCCGTCGTGGGTCTCCTCTGTTTCGATCGATCTTCGGCTCCCCGACGGCGGTTTCTGAGGCAGAGGAGGAGTAAGAGAGCAAGAAGGAGAAGACCGCCGAGAGAGCTTCCGACGGCGATCGCTACAATCGCCGCCGTGGAGAGCTTGCCTGACTTTTTCCGGGATACATTCGACGGCGGAGCAAGTGACGGGGAAGGCGATGGAGAGACGAAGAAAGGGTTGCAGGGTTTTAATGGTCCACCGCAGAGATCTAGGTTTCCGGCGAACGAGGAGGCTGGGAATTTGGATAGTGACGACGGGATCGAGCCGTTGAGGTTGTTGTTGGAGACATTGAAGCCGTCCAAATCTACGGTGATGCTCGGAAGATTCCCAGAAAATCGGTTATTTTCCAGGAAAAGCCCCGTCAAGTGAGTGAGGTTGTTAATCGCGAAAGGAACGTGCCCAGTGAAGTTGTTAAACGAGATATCGAGCCGAGTCAGCCGAGTCAACCGAGTAATACTCGCTGGAAATGCGCCGGAAAATTCGTTATTCTGCAAGTACAAGCTTCGGAGGTGAGTGAGGTTAGTGAAATCCTCCGGGATCTCGCCGGAAAGACGATTTGCTCGGAGACTGAGCACCCGGAGCTGGCTAAGACGGCCGAGCGACCCGGTAGGGATCCGACCCACCAACCCGACACCGGGTAATCGAAGCGAGTAGACAGAGGAGTTTCTCGCGTCACACTCGACGCCGACCCAGTTGCAGGCCGAGTCGGACTCGTTCCACTGAAGACGTTTCTCGTGAGGGATTTGCCGCAGGAAGGCTAGGAGCGCTTGCTTGTCCTCAGTAGGCTCCGAGTTCACTCGCTGAGTCAGCAGAAGAACCCAGAGAAAGCCCCAAACCGCGAAACGGTACCCGGGAACGGCCGCCATTGTAGGTTACTCGCAGGCAGTAAAGGACAAACCGAGGAGAAAACTGAATAAAGAAGAAACCGGGTTTTTTCTCGTTTAGTTCAAGATTGTCGGTGAAACGGGTTAGAAGCGAAACCAGAATCGGTTTTCCGGCGAGAACCCATCTGCAGTGGGGAGAGAGAGAGAGAGAGAGAGAGCACTGTCTGTGAGTGAGAATGTGACTTCGTGAGGTTTTGTAAGAAGAGAATTGGAAGATGGTATCAAAGCTATCACGAGGGACACAAAGTAAAGGAACAAAAATAAATAAATAAAGCTGTTTTATTAGCAAAAAATGTAATGAAAAAATAGAGGAAACGTTTTTCTTCTTCCTTTTTTTTCTTATTTTATTATTTTTGGTAACGATAATCAGATTTTAAAGCTGAAATAACCCCGCATTTATAGAATTTAGCTTGTGATGATATAAATTTTATCATTTTTTAATGTTGTTACTAATTTAGTCTAATCCTCGAGATAATTGAATTTTATTTAAATCTGAATTTGTATAAAGAATAATAATGCTAAAAATGATTTTTCGCATATGGACCAATTCGTACTTTTCCAACTAATCTTTCCATCTACGAAGCCATAGGACCGGGAGATATTTTGTTACTGATGCGAACTTATGATGTAAAATTTCACGAAAAAAAAAGCATTTTATTCGGTTTATTTAGTTTAATATGGATTTTATCAGATATTACCGAATCTATAATGTTGTATTTACCTTCATTCAACTAGTTAAACATATTAAATCTAATTTAAAAATATAAAACATCATATCATACACCTATATATATATATTAGTAAATAAATTAAGGACTTAAATTAATAGTGTCATTAATATTTACAAAATCGCTTGTGAAGAATCCAATTCAATTGCATGGCATCCGTCCAACCAGCTTACATTGGCTTTTGCTTTTCACTTTTTATGCTTCAAAAGCCTACTACCATTAACTCCTAATTATACAACAAAAGTATATAAAAAAATCAATTTGAGAGTTTTGCTGCAAAAAAATAGAAGTAATGAAATATCTTACTTTCCTTAAATAGTTAAGTCAAGGGTATCTTTCTTCTATAGAAGAAAACTAGTATGGAAACCGGACCAAACGAACCAATTCCTCACGAGCCACCTCGTTACGAGTCGGGTTGGTTCGCGTATCAGAAAAAAAAAAATTTCAATTTTAATATTTTTACATACAAATTATATTTTTATTACATATTTAGTTTGTTTTTTTTTAAATTTATATTTTTATTATATTTTAAATACTTTCTATATTTTTTAAATATTAAAATTAGTTTTAAATATCTTTTTAGTAATAAAATTTTATTTTAAAATTTATATATTTAACTTGCGGACCGACTCGTTTGGTTCACGGACTAAGACGGGATGGGTTGGGTTTATATTTTTTGCTCGCTAAAAAACGGACTGCATTGGACTGGGTTAAAATTTTTCCAAATCGGAACGAGTCAGGTTAGATTGGACTGGACCAGCCCGTTTTACACCCTTATCTATGGACACGGTAGAAAATGAGCGATATATATCAATGTGAATGATATCTTATAAAATTTATTTATTTTAATCAAAGAATATAAGGTTTTTGTATGAAACAATCAATGAAACCAGTCACATTAATTAAATTAAAAGCCTTTGCTCTAATTAACTCGATATGAGACAATAATAAGGCGACAACCATTGTAAACAATTGTTAGATTAAGGAAAAAGCAATTGGAATCTATTCATTCATATTAAATTTCCAAAAAAGTTTTTCTTTTTTTTTTCAGGTGATAAATTTGAAAAAAAAAACATAATGTTATCTCAAATTCAAATTTAACCGTATAAATAAATATTCACCCGTATTTTTTTTATTCCTCTGTAAAATATAGTTGGGCCAAATTAATGGTAAATTTTGGCATTATAATTTTTTTTTTTGTGGTCAACACATGCATTCATCTATTTGATTAATTTTTAAGCTGAAATTACAGCTCACTCTCCTCCATGTGTTGGAAATCATATGGTCTTGCCTTTTGATTGAAGTGAGTTTCTTCCTTGTTTACATTTGTCATTAACCGTAATTAATTTTACTCATTAATAAAATCCCATGCACGTTAAGAAGCTAATCATACTTACTAACAATAAATATACTTATCGGTAGTTCAACCGGCGATTGGTAAGAACCTAATCATAACATATTTAAAATCTACACATATTATATCGTATATATATAACGTTATATACATTATACGCAGTTTAAAAGTATAGCATGAATTATGAAATTTCAGCAAAGTCATTACCCTTTAACTTTCCCTTATATATATATTTTTCGGATTAATAATATACTATGATGAAATTAGAGAGAATTAGTTTATTTTTATAATAATATTGTCAAACACATAAAACTAATCTTTTTAATTAATTTTACACGGATTGATTTGAAATTAAATTAATTTATTGGAACACTAAATTGCAATCCTATTGAACTAGATCCATATATATAAAGTATGATTATATAAATAAAAAGTATGATTTGTGAATCCATTTATGATTTATGTTTTAAAGCGTAAGCTTTCCATTTCCTATATTGTTCCCTAATAATTTTATGTACCAAACATGTTAAACGGATAAAATAATACACATACCTAACGCATCATAATTCAAATCATAATATATATTTCATACTCAATCACCTTTTCTTCATCTTAGCTTTTCTTCTTGAATTTTAAAGTCACCATTATAATTAAAATATTACAAAAATAATTAAGAACATGTTTTGTCGGATACAAAAGAGAGTGGCGAACACGAGTATTTTAGGTTCCAAGCTGAATTTCTTTCCAAAAATAGTTTTTTTATGGTGATTTATTTTGGTAAAAATTAACGTATGTATTTTTTTTTCACGTTTTTAGGAGAAGATATAAAAAAATCATAGTTTCACATATATATAACTATACATATTTTTTTGGTAATGTAGTTTCATATTTTGTTGCCCAAATTAATTATCAATTTTTCAACCATTTCTTTTTTTGTGAATCACATATATGTATATATTTTTAAATATAGCACCACAATTTCGTCGTAATTTCTTATATAATTCCGTTGCTGAAAATAAGTAATGAAAATTTTGGGATAGTCGATATTAGATTAAAAAATTGAGCTATGCGTAACATGTTTTGGATTTTTAAATTTATTATATAATCGATATTACATTAAAAAAATTGTACATGGAACGAAAAAAAATCGATGACCAATTGACATTGGAGTTTGGGATATTACCACCACTCACGCTGCGCACGTTAGCTTATCCTGCGCCACAAGTCGCTGTTTCTCTTTCCGACCAAACGAGAACCGGACGGGGAGCCCTAGAAAGGGCAACGAGAAAAAATTATCTTTGCCGATGGAGAAATTTATGATAATAATTCCAAACGATTTTGGAAAAAGAAGCCCTAAGGGATTGGGATTTTTGGGGTGAGGCTGCTGAGTCATCAGCAGCACAATTGTGTGGTTCTTCCTCTCCCCACGATTGTCCCACCTATCCACAAACCTCATTTCTCCCGTCTCTTTGGAGACCTAACCAAATCTTATTGTCATGATCTGGTAAAACCTCTCTCGCGATCTTAAACCCTTTCTTCTCCCAGCTCTGTTCTCAACAATCCGAGCATCGAACCGGTTTCCATGGCATCCATTTCTAGAGTTGTACCCAGAGACTGTAGGTTAAGCCAATGCAGTGGCTCATATACGCTTGGCGATTCCTGGGTTCTTGCTCGGAGAGTTCGGAATCGTCTGGGTATGTTTCAAATTTTGATTTTTGATTCATTGGTTCTTGTTTAATGGGTAGTGAATCATTTGCTCGAATCCTCTGATTCCCCCGAGTTCAGTTGTTTTTATGAAGAATCTGATGCTTAATGATATCTATGTTCTTGGTTGCTGATTTGATCTTTCAGATTGTACGAACTTGGGTTCGGTTCGTGATGTCGGAAAAAGTTTAGCGATCCAAAACTATAAACCATGTAGCTCCATTGTTGCTCTTACATCAACCTCGGCTGTGACATGTTCTTCCAGGTAGTTTGAGTTCTTATGTAATCTCTATTAGCTGCTATTGTATTGTCTTCTTGGTGATGCCAAATTTTCGTGACAGAGAAAAGAGAATTGGTATCTTAGAGGTATCTTAGATGTATGCTGTAAGCTATGTCCAGCCATTCAAAGGAAAACTTTCTTTTCTTGGTAATGAGTTCATTGAGAATGACTGAGTTTTCTCAATTTGGCTTGGCGAGTATAAACACTCTATACGAGAAACTATGAGAGGATATTCTTAATACTCTGCAGTATCATGCTTTTCTGTCATGACATCACTTTGATATGGTGGCTTGAGGTACTCCGTGATAGTGAATCCCCAACGAGATATGTAGTATCTGCTCGGCCAGCTTCTTGATTGGATGTGTAGAATATAATTTTTTTGTGGGTTCACAAATATTTTCTACAAGCCTCATGTGCTCGAGTGAGATTTTGCTGTTTGATTTTCAGGACCATGCGAATTGCTTGCAAGGCGGCAACAGATGTACCGGGTGAATCGGGTGATGTACCTGATAGCTCTTCAAGTGGGATGAGCAATTACGAGAAGATTATTGAACTTTTAACGACCCTTTTTCCAGTTTGGGTATTTTTTTTAACTCTTTTGCCTTTCTGTGATCTACATAAAATCATATATATGGTGGATATTATTTAACGAGGGCGTTTTTCGATTTGCAGGTTATTTTGGGAACACTTATTGGCATCTACAAGCCAGCTGCAGTATGTTTCAGACATCCCATGTTCCTTTACATATGTGTACATATCCATGTTGCTCTACCTTACACATAGATCTTGTAGGTTACATGGCTGGAGACTGACCTTTTCACTGTCGGTCTGGGATTTCTCATGCTTTCCATGGGATTGACACTAACCTTTGAGGATTTCAGAAGGTGTTTACGTAATCCATGGACGGTAAGAGGGAAAAAAAGTTTCTTTTTATTAGGCCTCTTTTTCTATGAATGTATCCGGCGGCTGATTATGATTTCGCCTGTTGAACAGAATAACAGTTTAAGGTGTTACCTTGCAGGTGGGTGTCGGTTTTCTTGCACAATATTTAATCAAGCCTGCGCTAGGCTTTGTCATAGCGATGGTACGCTTCTTATATGTGTCTGTGACATTAGTATCTCATTTCTTTTCAGGATTTAGATGAGTTTTACTGCACAATTTGATCAAGAATTCTTGTGCAAATTTGTGAATAATTCTGTCCTCATTTTTTGCTTTGTTGAAAGATTGCACATTTTAGTTCTATTAGCTGAAACAGTTCAAGCTTGACGCAGAAATTAATTCCTTTGTTAACTTTCGACGTATATCATCCAGACATCTTCGCTTTCTCTTGCTTCTTGAATCAATGTGATCTATGTGTTTACTCTTCATCAGTTCATCATTGTTGGAAAATATATTGTCATGGTTGTTTTTCTCCATTGATAAAAAAAATACTTGAAAACATTTTATTCACTGACGACACGCTGCACATAAATCCGCTCAATTTTCATCGAGGGCATGCACCCGTCGGGGCAAGTCTTCAAATCCATGTTCTTCTGTACTTTTTGCCAACTTGTTGAAGGCCACATCATAAAGCGATAATGGTTTTGAATAGACAACTTATGTGTTTGTTTCTTTGACTTTAGAGTCTAAAACTTTCGGCACCTCTTGCGACGGGCCTTATCTTGGTCTCATGCTGCCCCGGAGGACAGGCCTCGAATGTTGCAACCTACATTTCCAAGGGGAATGTCGCTCTCTCTGTTCTCATGACAACGTAAGCAAGCTTAGTTTCGGTCTTGTCTCTTCTCATTTCTTATACTTAGCCTCGAAATTTTCTAGATTCTTTTATCGTTTCTGTATATTTTTTAGGTGTTCGACCATCGGGGCTATTGTGATGACTCCTCTTCTCACAAAGCTTCTCGCTGGCCAGCTCGTTCCAGTTGATGCTGCAGTAAGTTCATAGCCATTTTAAATTTGATTTGGAATTTATTTCTGGCTCTCGTGCTGTTTATAAGATTTGTTGATCTTCTTTCGATCTTACAAGAAGCGTAAACGTGATTTATCTCAGCTCGTTGGAAATTAACAAGCAATAGAAATGGAAAGAAACCATCTGGGCAAACTTTCCGATTTGATTTCCATACAGCAAGATATAAAAGTCGATATATAATGCCGTTGTGAGAACCTATGGATAAATTTTTTCCTTTTCAGGGACTTGCCATCAGTACTTTCCAAGTAGTTTTGGTTCCTACCGTCATTGGAGGTATGATTCTAGCGAATTCCCGACAATTTAGATGGATGTGTGATTACTCGGGATATGATTTTTTCTGAAATGTTTTTTTTTACAGTGTTGTCAAACGAGTTCTTTCCCAAATTCACGTCAAAGATTATAACCGTGACACCTCTGATCGGGGTTATCCTGACCACCCTTCTCTGCGCGAGCCCGGTAAGATTTTGTAGACGCTTATATATGACGTTTTTCTTTTCATATGCGCCTTATTTCCTTTGATAATTTTTACGCCACTTCTTCAAAAACTGAAAATGGTACAATTTTGTTGTCGAAGATCGGGCAAGTCTCGGAGGTCTTGAAAACTCAAGGAACTCAGCTTCTGTTACCGGTTGCGCTTCTTCATGCTGCGGCCTTTGCTCTTGGCTATTGGATTTCGAAGTTTTCTTTCGGCGAGTCCACTTCACGTACCATCTCTATCGAGTGCGGAATGCAGGTAAAACGCCTCATTTCCATTGTTTCTCCCATTTCTCATACCAATTCAGAAGAATATATGGGTTTTGATCAATCAAAACAGAAGTAAATTCTTGTACTTTGATGAAGACCCGGTCTTTTTCTGATCTGTAGATGAGTATGTGCTCGGTTTTAAAATTCGGGAAATGTCGAGACTTTGAAATATTATTCTTAGCAGCCGAAATCCTATTCATTCCGATGTAAAGGCCTAAGCTTTGCGGTGTAACTTTGTCGGGATTATGAAGAGAAGCATAGAACTTTGCCTAAATTACGAGCAAAAACTGCGTTTTGAGGATTCCGCTAAATCTCGTCTTGAATTCTCATGCGCAGAGCTCCGCCCTCGGGTTCTTGCTTGCGCAGAAGCATTTCACCAACCCTCTGGTGGCCGTTCCTTCTGCAGTCAGCGTTGTCTGTATGGCGGTAAGGTTTCAGCCAACCTATTGCGTGCGCTATCTTACGTCTCTCCTCTTTTCCCGGGGTTAGGTTCCGATGTGAATTTACGTTTTTGCTCTTTTCGCAGCTCGGTGGGAGCGCCCTGGCCGTGTTCTGGAGAAACCGGCCGATCCCCGCGGATGATAAGGACGACTTCAAGGAATGAAATGGAGGACGAACACAGAGATGTTAAGGAACGGAACGTTTGTTTGGCATTTCGTACCCTTTTTGAGTGATTTTATACATTTTGTTAGGAAGCCGTTTGACGAGGATTCGTTGTTATGATGAATGCGTTTGGGAGATTCATGTAGCTTATTGGTGGACCGCAACGGTTTAATATTTCTTAAATATTTTTTGTTGAATCTGGATAACGTTGATTAAATTGAAATGATTTTATCCAATATATTAATGAGAAAGGAAAACTATGTCTTTAGAATCTCAAAATTAGGAACTTGCTATAATCTACGATTGCATTAATATAGAGCATACAAAATATTTCTTGCGTTACAAGAAACTATTGAAGCCTTTGTCACCCAACATTTTTTATAAACCGGGAGGAATTTTTTTTATATATACGGAATTGATAAGCATGCAATTTAAAAAAAAAAAGGAAAGAAAATGAAATTAATTACATATGTGTAACATTAATCAAATCGAAAGGATTTTATCGGGGAAAAAAAAAAGCTGTCTATAAAAGCCATGCCTACTTTCTCCAATTCGCTGCACTTTGAGAAAACATAAAGACCGAGGAGGAGCCATGTTCAGCAGATCGCTTTGTCTTGTCGGTTTCTCCTTCGTCGGCCTTCTAGGGTTCCTTTGTTTCTCTGCCGCCGGTTCTCAGCCGCAGAGTACGATATGTCCTTTCCGATCGATCTATCAGTTCGGCGACTCAATAGCCGACACCGGTAACCTCATCCTCAACGGCCCTGTCGGGGCAAGATCCCACGCCGCCAGATTTCCCTACGGAGAGACCTTTTTCAGACGTCCCACCGGCCGCTGCTCCAACGGCCAGCTGATGATCGACTTCTTCGCCCGAGCTCTTCAGCTTCCGCTTCTCAAGCCCTATCTCGGGAACGACAAGTCCTTTCGCAACGGCGTGAACTTCGCGGTGGCCGGAAGCACGGCGCTCAACAGTTCCTTCTTCACGGCTCGAGGCCTTCACGTTCCCGCGACCAACACCCCTCTCGGCAAGCAGTTGTCGTGGTTCAACTCTCACTTGAGATCCGTCTGCCGTTCAAACTGCTCCGAGAGGTTGAGGAGATCCCTTTTCATGGTGGGTGAGATCGGAGGGAATGACTACAACTACGGTTTCTTCCAAGGCAAGAGCGTGGACGAGGTCAGAGCCTTCATCCCTCACGTCGTTCAAACCATCGCTGCAGCCGTCAGAGAAGTGATCAGACACGGAGCCGTCAGAGTCGTCGTCCCCGGAAACTTCCCCATCGGATGTTTCCCCATCTATCTCTCGTCGTTTCCAGCCAACGATCCGAGGGCTTACGACGACAAAGGATGTCTGAGGCACATGAACGAGTTCGCGGTCGAACACAACAACGCCCTTCAGGCAGCCATCGCTTCCCTCAGGCAAGAATTCCCGCACGCGGTCATAGTCTACGGAGATTACTACGCGGCCTTCCAATCCGTCCTGGGACGTGCATCTACCCTCGGTTTCGACGAGAGAGCCGCGCTGAGATCGTGCTGCGGCGTCGGAGGAGCGTACAACTACGACGGAAGCCGACAATGCGGGGCGAGCGGCGTGCCGGTGTGTCCGAATCCAGACCGATACATAAGCTGGGACGGAGTCCACTTGACGCAGAAGGCTTACAGGCACATGTCCGAGTTCCTCGTCTACAACATCCTCTCCCAGATCCAGTGCGTCTGGTGACCTATACATGACATATATATATAAGGCCATTTTTTTGTTTTTTTTACGTTCATGTAATGAAATATTGAAATCTCGAAGTTTAAATCCAAAGCTTTTCACATTCTCTAAACGAAATTTTGGGTTCGATTAGGAAATCTAAAACTTAATTTGAGTTCAACACAGATTCATTTCATATTCATAAAGAAAATTTTCCAAACTAAAGAGAAATACAAATTGATAATAAGTCTAAATCAGAAATAAAAATAAATAAAATAAATTCTCACAAAGAAAAAAGAAAGAAAATTAAGGGGGGAAAAATATACAAAAGTCGCCCAATCTTTAGCGCCGGAAACACATCCCAAGAGTATGTAGGCAACAACAGCTAGTTACAAAGTTGAAAACCAACAAAGGGTCTCAACTTTCACAGAAGATCATGATATTAATAGAAGATGAGATCGATTCAAGTGCAATCGATACTAGCCCGGTTTCTTGCAGTTATTTCGATTTTCGGACCGGCTTTTATGCGCTGCTTGCCGGGATCCGAGCGATGTTTCCGAAGCTGCTTTCGGCATACTTAGGTCTCCATTCCGTTCTTCCTCTGACAACCTCAGCCCCGTCTTGGAGTCGGAGCAAGTGCTGGCATTCCACATCGCCCGCGGTTGCCAGGTTCCCGATGTCGGATCCCGCGACAGCGGTGAGGGACTGAAGCACGCTGTCCCGACCGCATTCACGGCGATATTCCAGGGTCATCGACTTCAGCTCGTGGCTCTCGAGGATTGCCACAGGAGCACTCTGTACGGACAACAGAATTCCAGATATCATCTTGAGCTTCTAGATTCGTATTATTGACAAGAATGGTGAGAATATGATAAATGCCGCGTGGTATATTGGAATGTAAAGATACAGGAGATACCCTCGAAAATGCATGGCTATATCTCAATGTCCAAAGATATATGGCTGAGGGAAATGTGGAAAAAAGAAAGAGTGATAGTAAAAGGAGACACTATACCTCAAGGATCCAACCAATGTACTTGACATTGTTAACGTGCTGGTTAACATCTAAGTCACTCCATCTTGGCTGAAAGAAATTACCAACACAAGATTGCAAAGAATGTCAGAGATTTATCTGCTTGAAATTTATTGCAAGAGATACAGAAATTGGCTTACAGATAGACCAGATCGAACAAAATCTGCTGTATTATCGTCAAGTTTCGGTAGCTTCCTGCTGTCCTCGTCAACAGCAGGGTCAGAATTCACAAAATAAGGTTCTATTTCACCTCGAACCTCTCCCGGAAGCTTGGATAACCTCCTTGTCAGTTTATTCATCATCACCCACACACTGTAAAACCATATGTGATTTTACGATGTTAATAACAGTGTTAAAAGAACAAAATATAAATCAGGAAACTTAAGTTGAATGATCATTTAGAGGTTTACACTAGAGAAAATTATGTGACATAATTAGCAGATAAGTTATAAGATTCATCAAAAACCAGTGTACATATAAGCAATCGAAGTTATGGGTATAGCAACACGGCAAAAAACATTATCTAACCTGGATGCTCGTGTTAATGTTTCTCCAGTATTGCAGTCACGAATTACCCAATCACGGCGCATACCATTCTTTCCAGATTGACTGACCCAGGTGTCTACTTGCACGACATCTCCCCTAACAAACGGATATCAGATGAGAAGCAGATTCAGCATTTGACACATATCAGTCATGGAAGTCATATACGCATAAATGCAACATCATCCTGTGAGAAAATAAGTAATCGAATATACAAGCATCTTTCGGATCATACAAAACAGCATAGAGTAAGTAAATAATATGTAAATAGAAAATCTTCCATGGAAATGAACATACATACACGCATCATTTTTCCGGAATCCCAAATGATTAAGTGAAAGTACGACTCTTTGCATTCAGGGTAAAGAGAAAAAGAGGAAAATTTAACGAGAGGAACTGCGAATCTCACCAATGCTACAGTTTTATGTGTTTAGACTAAGAATAGCTTACCATGTCGGATATTTATCTACAACAACCTGCATACGAGTAACAACCCATATCAGGTTCTTCTTGGACATCTCAGGGGTCGAGCCAAATCCATCTCCCAGCAACCCAGCAGTCTTGACGTGATTGAGGGCTGTCTCCTGTTGAAAATGTGACGTTAAGAATAATTTGTTCTAAAATGAACACGACCGGTGGCAATATATGGTTGTAATTACATCTATCTGTTTACGAATATTGACCCGAAGCAATTGCCGTTATCTACCTGTTTATGCATATTGTACCATCAAGTCACAAATAATACCTGCAAATGATTCATCAAGGTCTCTATAGATGCCGTGCGGTCAGCACCAATTTCATACGACCTAATGGAGAAATTCTGACGAAACACAAGGCCATCCTGGACGATTTTCCCTATCCCAAAGGGGTCGATTAGCATGTCCATGTCGGAGCGCCTCGGTTTCCAGTCGAGCATCATCCATTGTTTCTCTGCCGCCAAGAAAATCGTAGTAATGGCGGCAAGAAGCATGCTCCAGTCAGGTAGCTGGTTAATGAAAGTCCTGGGAGCGGGCTGAGGTGTGTCATTTTCGGTCTTCAAGCTCTTCTCTGGAGCTGATGCGAAACTAACGTTACGGCCATTAATCTTGGGTGGAGCCTGGGCATTAGCCTTGACCTGCAAGCTTCCAGAATTCGGTTCCGGATTGAGTGCTGAAAAATTTGCCGATCCAAGCTTTTTGCCCTTACCATTGGGATCCACAGATGGAGACGGTACAGGAAAGAAGGATGATGTAGCGGCGGTGGCAACCATGATGACAATATTAAAGGTGAGAGGAAGCGAAATCTGACAGCCAAGACAGATATGAAGAACTATGTCAGTGAATGTCAATATGTATGTAAGCGCATAGACCAAGGAAGGATTTTCATGGGAAAAACAAGACGGCACAGAAAACACAAATGACAATTCAAAACAATTTACCTGAGATTCAAATAAGGAAAGTAAAAACAAAGACATGACAAACACAAAGTCTGTATCAGACTCAAAGATATATACTTTTTTTTCTTCTTTTTTTTGAATGATTTGGGCACTGAGCTGTATCCAACACATTGAGAACAACTCAAATCATCTACAGTAAAAGAATAAAGCTTCCATGGATTTTGCACAGAAAAATTCAAATCCTAGTTGCAGGAGAAAGTCGCAAAGCATGCAAAAAAAAAAAATTCTGGAAAACTTCCAAGAATTCAACATTATTGAAGCAGAGTAATAGAATGTCCATAAAATTAAACATATGAAACAATCAGATGCTGCTTTGAATGAAACATGCAGCGAAGAAGAATCCAGATCTGAAACCCAGACAGCAAAAAACCCAAAATTTAAAGAAAAAGAAAAAAAAAATCAGGAAATAGACGAAACTAAATCGAAGTTTCGTTTCTTCTCTGACCTCTCAATTTGTCTTGGCAACTAAAAAAAGAGAGGGCAGAATAGCCCAACAGAAATCCAAAAACACAGAAAAAAGGGTAGAAATCCACAAATGCAAAAACAAAATCAAACTCTGACATCGTTTTCTCTATCACGCCTCTATCTTCATGCAAATAAAACACCATATCCGAACCATCAATCCAAAGATTCGCAATGCACGGATCGAGTTACACGAACAAAAAAGGGGAAAAAAGGAATCGAAGTCCGTACCAAACGAAAAAAACCGCAGATGCAAAATCAACGAGGAAAAACATTCACGCGCGAAAGACCGATACGAACGTAGCCCAGTCTGCAAACCCTAAATCCTTCTTCTTCTTCGTCGTGTTGCCTCCCTGGTTCACGATCTCGTTCCGTGTCTTTTGTTAAAAACCTTTTTTTCCCTTTTTTTCCGAATTTCAATTTCAAAATTCCTAATATTTTCCTCGGAAAATAATAAAATAGAAAATTAAAATACAATTTCCTAGAGAGAGAGAGAGAGCCAGCGAGTATGTGCCGTAGGAGAGAAATGGGCCTCGGAAAGCCTTTTATAGTTGCCACCTGGACCCATCCTTTCTTTCGTTGGTATTTACCGTTTTATCCCTATCTTTGTTTGTTATTTACAGTCTAACCCTTTTTTGCATGGCAGAACATTTTCCTCGTCAAATTATTCTTTCTGGTGGAATTTTCTTTTTCCCAATGTGACGTAGATTTCTTAAAATTTCTATTGTCTTTCTTTCATATATTACAAATATATTGAATTGGTATGCAATCTATTTTTATTTGATTTTTTATTAATAAAACATAAAAAAATATGTTATTGTGTCATAATTTAATATTACAAAAAATGAAAAAAAAACGTAATAAAAAAAAATAAAGGAATCTTTAACAAAAAAAGGGAAGAAGTTAAGAACCATACATGAAGACTGACAAAAAAAGATATTCATATTAGTTTGTGTATATTTTTTTCTATTGAATTTGTGGATGTTGTGTCGAAATTAAAATATCTATAAATACATACATACATATATATTATATATTTTAATGAAAGTAAACAAAACAATCGAGAGCCGTTTGTTTTTCTTACTCTTATAATTAATTTTCTCTTAAAAAAAAAATATCTCTTGAAAAAAAGAAGTCCATTGTCACATCTCGTAGCATGCAATCAAATTGGAATCGAAAAGGACATAACGAAGGATGTGAGCCAAAGATTCGTCAATACATATGGTTTCAATTTCTTAAATATAAAATCTAAATATTATTTAAAACTAGCATTATTGTTATTGTGAATGAATTTAAATATATATTATATTTTTCACAAATTTTAATAAAGTAGAATATATATAAATCAAAACTTAGTAGTAATATGTGTGAACACATTATATTTTAAAAATTTTAAAATTTAGTTCTAACCTAAACTTATATTAACAAAATCATCCCTGTCTCCGAAAAATAAACTTAAATTTTGCTAAAATTATTAAGTTGGGGATATTCATGGAAAAATTTGCAAATGTCTTAAGCAGCAGTAAATATATTAATATTAATTTACTACCTAATACAATATTTTTTAATAGTTCTATTGATTATCCAATATTTTCAGTATTTACAAGCCCTAATAATTTAGCCATCCTACCTAATGCTATATTTAAAATTGATATGGTTGAATTTTTTAATAATATTTCAAAATTTTCGGATTAGATTGAGAGTTTGATTTTCTTGAATTTTTGTTGAGATATATCATTATTGGAACACGGCACACGTAGACCAACTTCTTCACGTTTCTTTTCATTTTGGTTATTATTACATATTTTTTTTTGATAATCCGGAATTTCACAAAGCCCAACTACATCTCTCAGAGGACCGGAGCAGTCCATGTGAAAACCTCTCCCCAACCAAGAATCGAACCGCAGACCTGAGTGCTTTGTACACAGCTACTGACCACTCGCCCACAAGCTCTTGGGTGGTTATTATTACATGTTCTACTTCATAAGTCTTCCTTCCACGGCCAAATATCATATTACTATATTGGAAATATAAAATACTTTTTTAAAAAAACGAAAGTAAAAATGAAAAATGCTAACATTGGTTGTTTTGTTGTATAGAAAAAAGCTGAATGGGAAATTGAGTATTTTGATTTTTTAAAAAAGTATACACATAAAATCATATATTTAACATACAAGTTATTGTCACGTTTTAATCTAAACTAGTTCTAGTTGTGCAAGTCATGCAATTAAAACAAATGTTTGAAATTTCTCCATCGGTGGACCGACAACGACCCTTGATTCTTACACTTCTCCTTTCATTTTATTTTTCGCACGCCACTTTACTATTTATTTCGCGGTGCAAATATTTGAATAAAAAACCTTATTCGCTGACTTTTATCAACAAACATTTCACCATAACCATGAAAGAGAAAGAGGATCTTTGATTCTATACGATGAATAGTCGAGAGGAGGTTTTCATGTAGAAGAAAAAATTAGGTATGTGTTTAATTTATATAATTAATTGTAGTCAATATATGAAGACTACTATAAAATTAATTGAGTATCATTCTTTCAAATTTGAGATATAAACAAGGAAAGCTGAATTGTTAAAATGAGTATTTCGGATAATCATTACTAATAACCAGATTTATTGAATTTTTTTTTTAAATCTATTAGATTTATTGAAAATTGCGTCTAATCGATAAACCACAGTTCTATAATCTATTAATAAACCTATGAAAGAAAAAGAAAACAAGAACTCTTTATTATTAATTTTGTTGAATTCTGAAAATCGATTTCTTTTTTTTTTTATATATATATATATATACCATGAAACAAGTTATGAATAAGTGAATATCGTCTCACATGTTTTTTTTTTTGAACTAACCCTTAACTTTTTTTTTTTTCACATCATCTTCTTCCTCTGCTGCTTAGAACCTTTCGCCCCTCCCGAGCCACCGCATACAATCGAACATTCAATCCCACAAATGTTACTAAAGCACGAAAACAAGCCGCTGTCCCCCCCTCCTTCCGTGTGTCTCCGGCTATGTTTCTTCATCGGGACAACCGCAACCTGATGTTTCACACTCCGACCTCCTCCTCCTCCTCCAATGGCGTCGTTCCGTTTATAGTTCGAAGTTGGTTTATAGTTTGAGCTCGCCTTGTAATCAGAACTCGTCTGATAACTCGAACCCGCGTCCAGAATCGGCTGTAGATTGGCCTGCCACCTCTCTAACTTCGACTGCAAACCCTCGACGCTCCGTTCATCGACGCTTATCACCGTGCTCTCGACTTCTCTGCCGGCCATTGCTCTCTCTCTCGCGACCTGTGCCGCCACCACTGAAGCCGAGGGGCCTAATTCCGACTCCGTTATAACGATCCGTCTCGCCCTCATCGGCGTCCCGTACTCCACGTTGTTCTTCTTCGGGACGTAGCCCATGTTTCTCGGTCTCATTGGCGTGGCATAGACATCATGCCTTGCAAGAGTTGGTTTAGCTTCAAATCTCGGATTTGAGGTTGTCTTTGGTGTCTTGTTCGGAGGATGATACGCCACCATTTGAGAATCCGACGAAAACTCGTTCTTGTCGGACGAACTGATCTCGAAATCCGAGTTCGTGGTTTGATTACTGCCCGTTACATCGTCTTTACGCTCGAGGTCCTTGAAGCTGTTTCGTCTGATGATCATAGTGCTAACCCCTGATTCCACCATAGAGCTCGTTTCGCTTTTCGAACGTCTCAGACCAGAGGGTTTGGTCGAGATTTTGTTCTGGTGGAACACCAGATCTTCCTCGAACGTCGAGGGCGTGTACAGAGGCATGCTCGGTCTCGAGCTATCGATCAGCCCGACGGCTATGTTGAGCAAGCCGTGGGGCCGGCCCGAGGCTCGAAGAACCTCTAACGTGACGAATCTCATGGCCGGCAATGACGTAGGACTCAGGAGATCAGTGATCAGGGCTTGGACCGTGCCGATGTGGATGTCTTTAAACCAATGCAGAGCGTATATCTCAATAACCATTATCGATGATGTCCCGTAGTAGAGTGCTTCCTTGTCGAGACGAAACACGAACTTGTCGTTCCACGTGGGGTTGGTTCCGCCCGTGTTGTCCACGCGGGTCGTGAGCTTGTGCTGCGGGTCGAGCCACGCGACCGCGTATGTCTTCATGTATCGTGCCACCGGGGCGAGATCTTGGGCTGAAATAATGTTCAGCTCCAAGATCTGCGACGGCGGCACCAGGGGCGGCTTCATGTTATTTCTACGTGGTTTCCTCAATGGTTTTGGCCGAGAAACAAAATAGAAAGGATGGAATCGAGAAGAGGAAGATCTTCGAAAGGATTTCGGGGTACGAGGTCGATGATTTTTACGCAATCGAAGAAATTTTTTTGACGAAGTCCTTCGTCGTCCTTTGAGGGGACGACGAAGGAAGATAATGCATGGAAAGGGTGGCCGAGCAAATTTAGGACAGAACGAGAAAACCAGAGAGAGAGAGAGAGAGAGAGAGAGAGAGAGAGAGAGAGAGAGAGAGAGAGAGAGAGTTATTTTAAGCTATTATGTGCTTTTCTTCTATCTTAATTTAGGTCGTGCATGAAAGATCTACTAAACGACAGATACATAGCCACAATACACAATCTTGACGAAACAGAGTACAAAGCGAAATCAATACCTTACAAATATGTGTCGACAGTCTCCATTTCACATGTAGCATATATGATACGCCCCTAGACGTTCTTGACTATGCTTCTGCTCCAAGTAACCTAGAGCTTGTTGCTTGGGATCCAAGTTTGTAACAGAATACATAAGGGAGATATTACTTCAGGTTACACATCTTTGAACCCAGCCTGCAATGGATCTGCAAACAGATTTTTTGCAAATTCATGAGAGCTTAGCTTCTCGTTCATCTCTCTGAATTTCTCTTTGAGCCTCTTTATCTGCCCCCAAGAAAAAAAAAATGTGAGATGACATGAGAAACAGAAGCAAGAAACAGAGAGAGCCGGTTTCTGCCTGCTTGGTTCAGGGAAAAGACGAGAGAAAACAAAAAGATGTATAAGAAGATTCAGGGTTCAGTTTGTACCCTTTTCAGCTCGATCTCCGTGCTTCTTTTCTTCTGATCAAGTGACTGCCGCAGACTTGTGATGTCAAAAATACTATCGAGATCGTCTTCAAAAGCATTTTCTAGCTCCTCTCGGAGGAGGGCAGGCAACTTATCAACGATTGGCATTAGAAGAAAACAGTTGAACTGCAAACCCACGGGAGAAACCACCAACCAGTTAGAAAGGTATAGTCATGAACGGATTCCTCCACTATTTCATCCCAAACGGGAAAAAAAGATAGAAAAAGACGAGAACATGGTTACAAGAAAGAAAAGGGTATAAAACCTTTAACTCCGCCGAGGCGAGAAAATATTCTCGTATTCCCTGGAATATCTGTTGTACCAAGGCATATACAATCCTTTCAGACGAAGGAGCAAGTTTTCGGTTCCAAAGCGTGCTATCTAGAAGGTCAGCCAACCGTGTTTCTGATGTCTGAATACTGGAACCTGGATCAATGTTCACAGCCAGATGGCTGAGCTTTATGTCTGACCTTGATTTTGCGTCGGGAACTGCTGTTCCGGCTTGTGCATCTTGAGGAAAACCGAGTGCCACAGGATTACCTGCAGTAGCTAGTTGTTCTGTTCCGCCAAATGAATCCAAGAATTGGCGTAGACCAGCTCGGTTCTACATAAAGTTGAAAGGAAAACTCCAAATAAGAACGGGGTTCAAAATTGAATTCCCCAAAGGAGCAAGAACGAGATGTACTACTTTGAGCCCATTTTACAAAGTTCTTATAATTTGGTAGGGTTATGAAAGTTCAGTTATGCAAATCTATTATTCGGATTAAATATGTACGGCTCAGTTGAAAGGAATCAAGAGATTAAGGTCATGAATTTAGTTTAGATTAGAAACAAATGCTATAAAACTCAGAGCAGTAACCTTGTTGTGAAGAGACCATGTGACATAGCGAGTAGTACTTGCTAAATCTTCCATACACCTGCAGATGATTGACAAAACACGAGGAACATAAAATGAACAAAAATCTCTGTCAAAAGTACACAGGACGAACTTCTAGCAACTGAAGGTGACACGAAAACAAAAGCGACATTACATGAGAGCACAACTTAAAACTCATTTCATAACATACACCTACAAACCATACTCTCTTTCCATGTATTACGGTAGATATTATGTTTTCATAGCCTGACTATAATGTCCCAAAACAGAATTCATCACAGGGAAACTGCAAAACTTAATCAGTTCCAAAACAAAATTCCATCTAATGTTTAGGTAACTATTACATGCTTTTATTCAGACTATTACTGGAAACCAATCATTTAGTTTACCTTCAATGTTTCCAAGAGAAAAAGAGTGCCCATGGAATTGCATTTCCATTATTTTAGTGCATGCGAACTTTATGTGGAAAATTAACCATGGCCACTAAGATTGTCCCGACAGATCACAGAAAACACTTTCAGAAACAAAAGCCAAGGGTAATGAGGAACTGGAAAGTAGTTACTTGTCGCGGCATGTTTTTTCTGTAGTTTCCACTAAACTGTTGAAAGCTGAAGCAACCCGGTTGAGGAACACCTCATGGCCACTTAAGTATTCACCTTCTTTCTATCCAAAATCAAATATGCATACGTTATTCGCAAGGAAGAGAAATAGAGGATACCAACAATGCACAAAAGAAAGAAAGCTCCAACCTGAAGAAGGTATATAGATATTGGAAGCAATCTCTTCAGAATGTGTAAAAGCCTGGCACCTAACTACACCAGTATATAAAAAAAAATAATAATAAGCGAATCAAAACACACAAAAACTTTGATCCTGCAATATGTCTTGAGGGAACATATACATAAGTAAATAAATAGAACTTCATAAGAAAAAATCCCCAATAAATATTTCGTGCTGCCAAAATACATACTTGAAACCAATCTAAGCACAAAGAGATCTTGCTAAACTCAACACTCAAAAGCAGTAAAATAATAAGACGTGCTCTTGCAAGTATTACTAGCAGTAAAATAATAAGGCGTCCATTCTATCTTCCAAGAAGGAAGAAGAAAATTGAAGATGTATTTAGTATCACCTGATGAAGAAAAGGCTCGAATGTGTCACGAGCCTTTGCAACTGCTATGACGCAAGCTGTTCTAATTCCATAAACAACAACAAATCAGAGACTGGGGACTTAAGTATCCAATGGAAGGCATTGCTTTAGAATAATACTACCATAAGCTTGAAGCAGGACTATGTTGCCTCTCAGTTCGTGATATCATACCTGGAATAGTTTGTTCCATCATGAATATCCTCGACTCCACATGCATTTACAATTTCTTCCCGCGTTATTGGTGGGCATTTGATAGCACCAACTAAAAAACGGAATTCAGCCATGGCACGGTGATACTGTGCACCCCCATAAAGGCGCATCCCAGCATTCTATATGTGAAAGAGGAATTTGTTCATGTCCCCTTGTATCTCAAAAGGTTCAAAGAGATATTTCTTCTTTTAATGTCTTTTGAAATATTCTTATTTGGCTCCAAATTCTATGTCCATCAAATTATCTCCAATCAAAATCCCATGTTTCACGTAGATGGATAGTCGAACAAATAGAGATGGCATGCCTTAGAATGAAAAACAACTCTAACTAATTTGCTCTGCCAAGCAAACTGTTCATTACTTAAAACTTCCAAGATGAAAACTTACTGGTATTAACTTATGAGGGAACTGAAGACCATCAGTACCAACAAAAGCTCCTCCATTCATCCTTTCATCTTGCAATGTCTCACCTGGAAACATACATCACTCTAAACTCAGGAACATAAAAAGGAAACATGGTTCATACGGTGTATGTGTCATATGATTAACAAATGCCAATAACTCGACCTTACTTGACAAATGCTCAAGCTTGTTTCAATTTTACATCAGTCAAACCTTGGACTCAGATAAACATAATAGAATATCCAGTGGCCATACATAAGAGGTTCAGTGTGTGTATATGTGCATGTGTACATCTCTGTGCCAAAAAATAACATCATATGCATGTGATTGATCTATTAGCATGCATCATCTCATGTGCGTGGTCATCCCAGTACAGTAGGAAAACTGAATTGAGCAGATGCATAAAAACTCAAGCGTGAAAGTTAAGACTCAACAACAACCGTACACAAATATCTGTTGTGAAATACAATTGACTCAAATATGAAGCATGGCAGCAATATTACCAAATTTATCTGGAGGCGCCACAACTGTTCCTTTCAATAACAATGATAACTGGTCAACCAAATAAAATGAGACAAGTGAGAAAACCCAAATATTAAGCAATACTATCTGACCTGGAGCATATAAATCTGAATCTATATGTACTGATGACAACATTCAAACGATAATCATACCGACACAGGAGCACTCTTAAATCATTCTAAAACAGTAGCATATCCTACATAGCATTTACATGGACATACAAGTCTCCTATGACAACACAGAAACTCAGGAGTGGGTTACCCAATATATGTTTTTACTAAAGGTAACAAAACTATTTTTATGAGTCCATCAGTCCAGACACAAGTAGAGAAAGATGCAGAGGAGTACATACAAGCAAAATATAAATCTTAAAAAGGAAAATCTACCTTGGTTAAGAAAAGATCATGGAAAGTCCTTCCTTTCTCTTTTAGTTTTGCTTCATCCAAAGAGCTACATTGAAAGGCAGAAGAAACTCAAACATTAACGATGAGCATTTCCTTGAGATTAAAAAAGAATACAAAAAATATTCTTGAATCGATAAGACATTCCTAGACAGGATCATTTTAGGCTGTCATAAAGGCAACTTAAGTTAGCACACCTGAGTTCCTTGCTAATGCTGTCCAACTTTGTAATTGTACTCCGATACTCCTTTCCTAGAAGTGGAATGATCAACGGAACACTCTCCTTGTACCTTGGAAGAAAATCGTAATGGAAATTTAAGCACAGAGAAAATATACAACAAATAGATTCTATGTAATCGCAGAGACAAGCAAAAGAATTCAACCTTTTCCAGAGTAGTTCTTCCAAAAAACACCTTAGTTTACTAACGCCAATCCTACTTCTTTCCTGTTTTGTCAGCAAACGGCCTAACTTTTGCTCCAGAGACGCAATATCTTCTGTTTCTCTACGTGACACGGCCTGCAACCGAAACGATACAAAGTGCAGCATCCTGTATAACGTTTATGAATTTGATAGTAACAAAGAACCTCTTCGTAGTGCAAGAAAGATTACGTAAACTTATTTTAACAGAGCAAAAACCTGTTTGAACTCATCATTAGACTTGTATACTGAATCCTGTCCATAACCAACCCGTCCAGAAGGCACAGACGTGAAAAAAGGAGAGTCGCCCAATAAGGAGCTGTCAAGTGTGCTTGAAGGAGGTGAGAGGAAAACCTCCACATCTGATGAACATGAAAATTGAGGAATCTTGGTGTCAAGCTTTGTAGAAACGACTATTGTCCTTGAAAGCTCAGGATCAACCTACATGATCAACACAAAATACTAAGTTCCAGGCTATAAATAGGACAAGGTTACACACAGTGGAAAACAAAACAGCAAGTCTCGTATAAAAGTTAAGCGTAACATACTTGCATCACTATCCTTCGCGTAGTTGCAACACTCCAGTCACTGCTATCTTCAAGGCACAAAATGATGAACTCTTTGTGTTGCATCTTTGCTCGAACCAGAGATTCCACGGCCCTCGCTTGAACCTGAAAGGACAAATGACCAACAAATGAACAGCCAAAAAACTTATACAAAAAATCAATTCAGTCATTGAGTTGGTTGGGGAGCAAAATAAACCAACCTGAAGTGCTCGGCTTTTCTGTCCTGGAGCAGGAGCTATGAGTCCTGGAGTATCTATGATGGTAAGGTTGGGGCAGTACTTATACTGCACTTTGACAATGATCTCCTTGGCTGAGAACGGGCATGCTTCCTGCTCCAGCCTCATGTTTTCTGCTTCAATATATGCCTGGAAGCAAAGAAAATAAAATTACAAGCTTCCAAGACCTCATCTTTTGGGAAATAACAGCTCAGAGAACACAGAATTCCCGATAGTCGAGGGCAGAGAGAAGTAGTGTATAAATCGACTGAAGGGTATGACTAAAAGCCCCTTAAAGGCGACTGGTGTTCTTTTATGAATGACAAACATGGGCTACAGGATCAGCTTCTATTCATTGTATCTACAAAAATCATAGCATATACACCAAACTTTTCCTTAAACCTAAACTTAGATCCAGCGGAATTACCTCAATATAAGAGACAATGCACAGGTACAAGATCAGGAAGGGATAAACGAAAGAAACAGGTCGAATAACGAAACATCTGAAGTCATATACTGCACAATATACCTGCCTATAATACCTGATGTTCATGAAGTAAAACCCACAAAATGGGTGACAAAATTGAACTTATTTCACCTCTCAAATCACCAGAATTTCGCAGAAACAAGCAAATCGAAGACCTAAAAGGAAGCGAGAAAATGCCTGAATTTGGGGGAGAGATTTGGGGACGGCGACGGAGGGATCAACATCGGAGACGAGGTGACAGAGAGGTGACTGACACTGAGGGTCATACTTCATGTGGAGAGTGATCGGCCGGCGAGTCTTGGTTCCGCCGCCGACATGGTTGAACTGAAAACCCATGAGCGCTTCCACGAGCGCGCTCTTGCCATCGGTCTGTTGACCCACCACGAGCACCGCGGGTGCCTCGAACGGCGTCTCCAGCTCCTGAGCCAACGCGTGAAGCTCGTTGTACGCCTCGTACAGGCTCCATCTCTCCTCCTCCGCCTCTTCCGCCGCCGCCGCCGTTATCGTCGTTTCCTCCGGCATTGCATCCTCCGTCGCCATGTTCGCCGTCATGGGGTCTTCTCCTCTTCTTTGGCTAGGATGAAGAAGATGAAGCTCAAAATGAAGATGAGCAGTGGAGCGGGTGTCTTTTTCCTTTTGTATACGACAGAGACTGACCGGCGGTATTTACTGTGAAAATGCAAGCCCCTTGAGTTCATAAATAATAATAATAATAATAATAATAATAATAATAATAATAATAATAATAATAATAATAACTAATTCTTAAAATCCAGTCACTTTGCTGTATTCAGCATATTTTGTTATTTGTAGGGACGAATCGAAAATTAGATAATTTTAGCCAATTGTAGCCTTAATTTGAGCGGAGAATTTTGAGCAATAAAATCTTATTTTATCTTCTTGCAATTAAAGTTAGTAAAATAAGAGTTTTAAGAAATAGCAAATAATATTTTTATAATTTGAAAAGTTTTCTTTATATTGGGCATTAGATTAAATTTTAAATTCTAGTGTCTAGGTTAATTTTGTAGTTTGATAATTAGAAAAATATTTTTCTCTGGATTAGCAAGTTTTCCTTAATAATAAAAAATAACCTATTTGCATTTAACAGTAAAATTAATTAAAATCAACCCAACCTAAAACTAATTAATTATCTTTTTAAAATCAAATTAACCGAAAACAAATTGAATATGAAACAAACTACTAACAAGAACAGAACAAAAAATTAATCTTTTTATAATTTTTTTAAGAAAACCAAATCAAATATCGGACCAAACAAACTAAAATCGAATACCAATAGATACAATTTTTCCGAAAACGAAAGCCCGAATGAAAAATAATCGAAAGGCAAAATATCCACTGCTTCCACAGGAACGAAACCATGCAATATAACTCGACATTGGTTCAACAATAAATATGAGAAACGGAGACGAAGATTGTAAATAATCGCAATGGAAAAGAGAACGCCAAAACAAAACAGTAAAAAAGTCGCCGATTCGAGATTCTACGATACTGATATTTAATATTTTACCGCCAACCCCATGTACTCTTTTAGTTTCCATAACTTGAAAATGTCCCCAAGTCACTACAAGTGTGTTTCACAAGTTCCTCTTCCAGACAAGATGAGGTAACAAACAACTGCCGGAATATGGAAGCTCAGCCCCAGCTCATCCATGTCCCCTGGCTGTGAATCCGCCGAAACCCCAGAGAGATGGATGCCTTACCATAGCTTCGTCTTGACCCAGAAGAGGACGAAAACGACCCCGAACACTATGGCTACCGGTGCCCACTTCCGTATCAAAGCCTGGTGCCGGTCGAACATTCATACAAAGAAACAGATGAGCAATGTGGATGACATGACATGGAAGTCTTTAAAAGAGATCACTAAACCTACATCCTTTTCTTTGATACATCGACACAAAATCTGAATCAAATGGAAACTGCAATCGGAGGTGTAAACATGCTAAGATTGTTTAGGTTTACGGTGCAATACATGAATATAAACCGTTAAATTGAGAAGGATTTGCTTTCACTTCAACCGAGTTGCATATTGTGATATAAGTTAGACCGATATGATCAATTTGCAGTTAACAATAACACCCCCATCAGCTCATACAATGTATCAGAAATAGAAAGAGAGCAATGTTGGATGTAACATGCAATAAGAATTTAAGAGAGAGCAATGTCGATAAATATGAATGAAGCAGTGTATCATCCACGGAATGATGGAACTGACCTGGCGGTTCAAATCTTTGGCCTTATCAGCATATATACGGGATTCTGAGGTTAACCGGCTTGACATCTCACTGACCTCTGCATCAAAGAAACAGCAAGGGTGAGGATGCAGCAGTAGATAAGTACGCCGGTACCCCAGAGAAATGCACATAATGATTAGTTCAGCCTCTTTTTTCTTATCTAAGGAGGGATTTTTTGTTACACATGACGTTTGACAGCGTAATACAACAAAAGCATCTTACGGTCAAGCTTTTCGCCAACCCCAAGCACTTCCTGCACATTTCTCGTCATTATTTGATGGACCTCATAAAGTTCATCATTCAACTTGGCAATATTCCGTTGAGTACGAGTGTCTTGGTACAGTTTCTTGGTTTTCTGCATAAAGGTATCTACAATAGATGAAGACAGAAAAATAATGAAGACCCAAAAAATCATGTTTCAGTGATGATGAAAACACAGGTGAATCTATGCATACCAAATTTAATGAAGGCATATGGCCGAGCAGCTGTTTCAATGAGAGCTCCATTGACACGTTCAAACTCATTCTTCAGGTCTTCCAAATATTGAAAAGCAAGTTTCTTGGGATAAGCACGGTCGCACATTGTCAAGTAGCAAACACGTCCTTCTATGATGTAACTGAGTTCATGGTCAAGGAAGCATATATATTGCATCCTACATTTTCATGTCATGATGAGAAGTACAACAATATAACAAGGAAATAAATCATATCATGTCATGCATCAGACGCTAGAAATAATAAACAAACTTTTCAATCACCCAGCAAACAGGTTAGACAGAGTCAAAGAGCCAGATATTCATGCAAGTATATCAGATCATATTATATGCAGATCCAAGGAATGCTTATTCCCACAAACAAAAATATTCTTCAATGGAGTAAAAAACCCTACCTAATTTCACCAATGGAGACTAAAAGAACACAACTGCAGTTCAAAGATTCATTTAAAACCTACCAACGAATAAATTTCCCCTGGAAGAAACCTGGTATGCTTATGAGAAAAGTTAAATTAAGGATACTGGAAAACATAAGGGCCGGTTTCAATTGACATCCTTGAAGCCTCGTTTTGTCCTCTCGAAAGATTCTTAAAAAGAGCCTTGACTTGCTGCTTATACATGTCAGCATCTTGCAAGTCGCGCCCGTCATCCAAACCCTCTGCCAGAGGCAGACCATCAGTAACACGGGCTATCATTGTCATCTTCACCATCTTTGCCTTATTTCTTCTACAATGATACAATCACAGCAACCATCATAAATTCCACCCACAGAAATGAATTAAATAACTCAGCAAAACCAGAGAAAGCCAATTTTTTCATCCAGCAAAAACGAGATATTTATCACAAAAATCTCCCTATTATCTAGAATTTGTAAGCAAGGAATAAACTAGTTTAGCAAGCAATACGGCCGTGTCGGTAGAACATGCACACCATATGCAGAAGTGGAGCTGCAAGATGAAAGACCAGTTTTACCTTCTTAACGTAATTTAGCAATAGTTCCTCAGAGAATTTCCTGAATTTCAAAAGATGTGGCTACAGTTAAATCACTGTAAAACAGGAAGATATAACTTTTCCACAGATGTTTATCATACAAAAAAAAAGACATTGCATAACCACAGAACCACGTGCCACTACCATAACAACAACTCTGAAATCAGAGAAGCTTAACAAGTCACAAAACTGATGCATCTTAATGTTTGATCATCAGTTCACGAAAACAGATATTAACATCCCAGCAAATCTATCACAATGCAGAAAGAACATCAATCAAAGAACATAGTGAAACTCACACATGACATGAATGATAGAAGCACTAGACACCACACATTATATTATCACAAAGAAAAATAGAGAGAAAAAGCACAAAACTATGTAGTTGGAACAAGACACAGTTTCATAAAGAAAAAGATAAAAGATCACCCCATATATGAAACAACAAGCCGGTATTCAGTAGTTGTAAACTTGTTAGGTCTCCTGTCGTGAAGATGCAGAAAAGAATACAATACAAAAGAGATTAACAAGAATGATAAACTCCAGACATGTCAAAGTCCAATTGAAGGTCTTACCGATCAATGCCACTACCAGAGACAAGTTATAAACAAACATACCTAGTTCAGAATCAGAACAAATCAATCTTCAAACAGAGTTCATAAGCAAACAAGCTGCAAAAACTTTATACATGCTATCTCCGATGAACACACACAAACAGATAACCCGTGAGAAACTTAAAACATCCGACAAAGATGCAGAAAGAAACAGCTCGAGGAAGCTTGCATCCGACAAAGACAACAAGGCGAGAAATCACACAGCTTTGCATGCAACACGCCCTTCCGAATCAATGTATCTTTTCTGAAAATAGAATCATAATTCATCAAAAAGCACATGGATTTCCCAGTAATTGTCGACGTTTCGACTGATTCTACTTCTCAAAATTTCCTAAATTTCGCTTACCACAAAGGGTTTAGATTTCAACAGCCGAGCAACCAAAATCAAACAGAAAATAAATCAAATAAACCGGTAATTGCCACAAATCCCATGAGACGTGTACGACCAAGCAACCTAAAGAACAAACAGGAGAAATAGGGCGGATCGACTCAAGCGAGCTCAATGGAAACGAAACGAGAAGAGAGGTAGCGAGAAAATACACAATCAATCTTTCTCTAAACCTATGCCATCCAAACCACGCAAAAACCAAAATTTTTCTCCGTCTAGGGATCGAATCCAGCACCAGAGAAAGCGAGAGAGCATGCGCGCTTACGGGTGAACAAAATGCAACCGACTTGGCTCCCCGAGAAAGATCCGATCCCGCCGTGAAATTACCGGTGAAGATGAAAACAGGAGCGAAATCGATCGAGATCGAGGGGGACAAAGAAAGATAGGAAACAGATGTAGGTTTTTAAGATTCTGTTTTCGAGTTTTTAATTCTTTTTTGGAAAATATCCAAATACTATCGCAGAAGAATACACATATAAAAATATATATTAATTCAAACAAATCTAAATACATTAAGGTTCAAAATATATTTATTTAAAACATGACAAATTATTCCAATAAAATATATATTTTATAAAAACTTCTCTTTTTAACCAAACTTAAAATATAGTTATAGTATTAATTATTCTTATAATTATATTTTTTTTAAAGAAAATTAAAATTAAATAATTAATATAATAACATTTTAATGTTTTCTATAAAAATTGAAGTTTACGTAGATGAGTATATAGATGATTTTTCATATATATATATATATTAAAATTTGTGGTTTTTTATTTTCTAATTGTGTAATAATTATTTGATAATTTATATATTTTACTAAAAAACTATGACTCTCTTCCTATGGGAGTATATCTCTTCATTAGATTACAAAATTCGGAAATTTAAAAATACGACATTATTTCAAAAATTCATAGTTTTCTCAAATTAAGAATAATTTTCTTTACCAAAAAAATTAAGAATAAATTTATTTTTTAGTCTGAAAATTTTAAAAATTATATTTTATCTAAAATATTTTATAAATTTAAGCATTTATATGAAATTTTCACCGTTGAGGTTTCATGAATCATGAGTGAGTACTGTATAAAATCACCGGCATTTACATTCTCCCAATATATAAAAGCCTAACAAGCGCTCACAATTTACGGTCTTATCCTCTCTCTCTCTCTCTCCTTGAAAAGCATTGGCGAAAGGAGCAGCGATCGGAGAACCCTAGGAGAGAGAAAAACCCTAGTCGGAGGGTGAGGCGGGAAAAATCCTATGGCTGCGGCGAATGTGGCGCATCCCGTCCGTGGCGGCGGTCGGAGGGGCGGTGGAGCACCGGATGACGACAAGCTCGTCTTCGAGACGACGGAGGGGGTCGAGCCTATCACGAGCTTTGATCACATGGGTATCAAGGAGGATGTGCTTCGCGGTGTCTACGATTACGGGTTTGAGAAGCCCTCTGCGATTCAACAGAGGGCTGTGATGCCGATTCTACAGGGCCGCGACGTTATCGCTCAGGCCCAATCAGGTACCGGGAAGACCTCCATGATTGCTCTCTCTGTTTGCCAAATCGTCGACACCTCGTCCAGAGAGTATGTTCTCTATTCTCTATTCCTTTTTTTTTTCTGTGAAAGCCCTAACTCCGATGTTAACGATCTCTTTTGTTGGATTATCCATTCGATGTCCTGATTTTCCCCTATACGTTTTATCATTCTGGGTTCGGTATTGTATTGGGTTGGCTTGGAGGTTTGTGGGAATTTTTCTTATAATTTCTGTCTGATTTGCGGTATCTCTATCATGTTAAGTTGGTATAATTTCGTGAGCTCTTGGTCCATGTGCAGTTCTGTGTTGTTCTGAAGGTTATCTCGAGATGGTATTGATTAGAATTCCATTTCCAAAAGCAAGGATAATTTTTCTGGATTTGTTGCTAGAATAATTGGCAAACATAGGCTGTGAGGTGTCTGTTCCATTTTACTTATCTGTTTGAGGTTTTCATTCAGGGTTCAGGCCTTGATATTATCCCCAACAAGAGAACTGGCTTCACAAACAGAGAGGACAATACAGGCTATTGGGTTACAGAGCGTTGGAGAGGATATTAGGAAACTTGAGCATGGAGTCCATGTTGTGTCCGGGACTCCTGGTAGAGTCTGTGACATGATAAAGAGGAGGAGTCTACGTACCAGAGCTGTTAAACTATTGATTCTTGACGAATCAGATGAAATGTTGAGCAGAGGGTTCAAAGACCAAATTTATGATGTTTATAGATATCTTCCACCAGATCTTCAGGTTAAATCTCACTGTCCAAATCTTATTGATTGGCTAGTAGCAGGTTTTTGGCTGTTGTTGCTTGTTTTTTCTTGGTTTAGGGCATTAATTGCCTGATCGTGAGTCATATTGCAGAATCTGTCAATTTATTGGAGTTGGTGACATTGCGATCTTTCTAATATACTGTTTGTGATTATAGGTTGTCTTGGTTTCTGCTACTCTTCCTCATGAGATTTTGGAGATGACTAACAAGTTTATGACAGATCCTGTGAGGATACTTGTGAAGCGTGATGAGTTGACTCTCGAAGTACGTTCCCTTCAGTCTGCTCCCAAAAGTTTTTTTTCAATGAGGCTTGATTACTAACTTACCTCTCATGGCTGAACTTCTGTTTAAAATCTTTCCAGGGAATCAAACAATTTTTTGTGGCTGTCGAGAAAGAAGAGTGGAAATTTGATACCCTGTGTGATCTTTATGACACGCTCACTATTACTCAAGCTGTTATTTTCTGCAATACGAAACGAAAGGTAAGCAGCTTCTTGTGTTAAAAAAATCTAAAGTTTGTAATACTTGTGTGTTTGCATGATTTGACATATTTTTAGTGCCTCCAGATATGTTGGTCTCGTCTTGTGGATTTTCTCTAGTTTGGCAGCCGGTTAAGAACTTGTGTGAATCTTCTTAAAAGTGTAATAAAGGTGCAATATATTTATTTGGATTCAAAGTGAGTTTATAGAATATCTCCACTGCTCAAGACTTGTTTAAGCGTCTTTGATACACCATGTGTGATTGATTTGTGTATCTTGTGATGTCAAGTGTTATCCTAATGATTTAGATATCGTTTCTTTTTTCAATCTTTCGTAGGAGTTGGAGTTGAGTTATTATTTTTTCGGGAAAATTCCATAAAAATACGTGAAATTGTCAAAAATTCCCAAATAAAAACATATATATTTTTTAAACACGGGAAGACAAACTGAGGCATAATTTGCCCAACTATGTTGGTTCACTCTATATGTGTGCGTGATGTAGGTGGATTGGCTTAGTGAGAAGATGAGGAGTAACAATTTCACTGTATCATCGATGCATGGGGACATGCCTCAGAAGGAGAGAGATGAAATCATGAATCAGTTTCGGTCTGGTGAAAGCCGTGTTCTAATCACTACGGATGTCTGGGCACGAGGAATTGATGTTCAACAAGTAAGTTGGGCTTTTCTTTTGCACAAAATGTCATATTTCTACTGTTAAATGTTGTTGAAGGTTCCTAGTGGATTAAATTACTGTCTTCCATCGTTGATGTCTTAGTCTTAGGATGTGTTCTTGGGAAAGGCTTGCTGTATTTCTTCCTTTTTGTGCTCATGAACCTTCCATTTAGTTGATGATAATGGTTTTGTAAAACTCAAATTGGAGGTTTTCAATGATGTGTTGTCCATAAAGGATGGTGTGCCTCCTTCAAGACTGTTCATAGTATTGCTTGAAAAGTTATCTGGATATATAATCGCGGGTTCTCTTCACTAGTAAATTGCATGTAACATCTGCTTCCCCACCTTATGGATTTCCTTTTTCCCATTGGTGTCTGAATCAAGATGTTTGCAACAGGTGGATATGTGCCTTAAGATTCCTGTACTGCCTAGGTTTGGCTTGGTCATTTTCAAGAAATTAATATTGACATGAAATTTTCTCCAACAGGTTTCTCTTGTCATCAATTATGATCTGCCCAATAACCGTGAGCTTTACATCCATCGTATTGGACGTTCGGGCCGTTTTGGTCGCAAGGTAAGAGTCCAATCCTATTTCTGGTTGGTCTTGCACATTTTTGGACTGGCTACATGGTTACATATTTTCCCACACCACACTATCCAGAGCTGTTGTCACATGCCTACTAGGAAGTATCTAATAGGTCAAAACAATGTTGGGAATACATATGGGTTATCAAAATTAACATTTAAAGTTTCAGCAGTGACCTTATGCTGTACTTATTTGTGTTCACTTGTGTGTTATGGGCACAAGTCAGAAGTGATCTTATGGTATTAGAAAACGGTGTCCATTTTATCACGGTCAACATACATTCGTGCCTTCTTCAAGCTTTTCCGAATCTTTGATCGGAATGAATAATGACTATAATGCAATGAAGCAGGCACCATGAGAGGGTGTATAAGCAAATAATGGTCATTTGGGTATTGGGATTAAATCATGTTAGCGATGTTGTTGTTATCTGTGATAATGATGTTGTTGGCCACTCCCAGGGTGTTGCCATAAACTTTGTGAAGAGCGATGACATCAAGATCCTCCGGGACATCGAGCAGTACTACAGCACACAGATTGATGAGATGCCCATGAACGTTGCTGATCTTATCTGACGAGAGATTTGGAAGGGACATGGATGGTCAGTGTCTTGACGCTGCTTTGTTAAGATTATGTTTGCTTCACATGCTGCGCTTCCGGTGTGTTTTTTTTCATGGATTTTTCTTTTTTGTTTTATGGGAAATGTTAACGTTTTGACATATTCAAACGTGAAATGTTGTTTTAGGAGCTTTAATTAACAATGGTTAGAAGAAAATTGGGTGTAATTTTGCGTCTTGGTTTAAAAACTTTTGAGTGTTTTTTCTTTATTTCTATACAAATATATATATATATATATATATATGAGC